TTCTCTGCATGCCTCCACACTCGTCTCACCTGTTGCAGCCCCTTGACGTCGCCTGCTTCTCGCCATTGAAGCGCAAGTATGGCGACGCTGTTTCAGGCTTGGCACGCAACCGCACCCACTATATTAGCAAGGAAACCTTCCTACCAGCCTTTAAGGCTGCTTTTGAGCAGTCTATCACGAAGGAGAATATCCAAGCTGGCTTCAGAGGTGCTGGTCTAGTCCCACACGACCCACAGGCTGTGCTATCTAAGCTTGATGTAGTGGTGCAGACACCTCGTCAATCACCACGACGGGTAGCTGCCTGGCAGGCGCAGACACCACGCAACGCGCGCGAAGTTAAGTCTCAAATTAGTCTCATTCAAGAGAGCGTGAGAAAACGCCGTGGATCTTCTGCCAATTCACTCACTGAGCAGATCGCGCAGCTGAGTAAGGGGGCCCAGCAAATAGCACATAAAATGACGCTTATGATGGAGGAAATGGGTACGCTTTGAGCGGCTCTTGACAAGTCGAATAAGCGTAAAAGCCGCAAGCGGCGATACGTACGGACAGAAGAGACTCTTACTATAGGCGAAGTACAAGAAGTATTAGCTGAACAGGCGGGTAGCAGTCGTGGTGATGGTGAGAGTGCGTCGAAGAGGGTGCGAGGAGAGCGGCGGTGCGGGCGTTGCAAGCAGACTGGACACAACGCTCGTACCTGCGCAGTTGAGATAGATAGTGCAAGTGATAATAGCGATTCTAATAATTAATTTAGTATATTGCAATAGTTTATTGACTGTGATAAAAGGCTGTGATAACGTGTTGAAGTTGACGCGCTGGTGGGGAGGTGTCCGCTCGCTTGGGGTGTCCGCTCGCTTATGAACCACGTTATAGTAAAAGTAAATTAATCATGATACTGAAATTTTATTATAATTAAAGCTTACTAAAACTATTATTTTCTTTACTTAAATGTTTTCAAAACTAACTTCATTTGGATTTTTAAACTTAGCTAACGTGTTTCACTAGTAAGCGGGCCACCCTAGTATGTAGGCCACCTCCCTAAACTATTACATTTTTGTAATAGTATTGCGCAACACTACTATAATATTTTTTATTAAGTAGAATAAGATATTATTCTTTAGACGTATTGCTATCCTCTATATTATCTAATTCTACTTGATAAGTGCGAGAGTTGTGTCTAATTTAGCTACAACGCCTGTAGCGCTATTCACTACACACCCTCTTTGTAGACGTTGCACTATTATTATAGCTACTACCCTCTGCCTTAGCAATCTAATTAGCTATCTAGCTAACTATTTAGGACCCCTCTACCTATACGTAGCGCCTCTTACAAGTTTTTTACTTTATTACTTTAGTAATTATAGCTTTAAGGCGATTAAGTTTCTCTTGTATTAATACTATATTATAAGCTATTTGCTAAGCTCTCTTACTTAACTGCTATATCTACTTCTTAAGAGAACTTATAGGAGACCTTTGCTAGATTTATATATAGTTCTAAATAAGCGTAGCCTGCGCCTCTATTTCGCGCGCGTTACGCAGCGTTTTTGGCTCCTAAGTAGTAGTCTCTTACGCTAGTAGAGTTAGCGTACGTAGTATAATGTTAAGCTATAATAAAATAACGTTATAATTATGCAGTAAAAGTCTAGCACCTTAGAACCTTCTATGGATATTTTCTAGTGTAATAGCCTTATAATAGGCCTTTTTAAACGCTAGTAGGAAGGTTTTTTTGCTAATATAGTAAATATAATTACGTGCTAAGACTAAGATAGTATTACTATACGCGCACTTCAACAGCGAGAAGCAGCCTACATTAAGAGGCTATAAGAGGTGCGACGAGTGGGGAGGCATATAGTAGAGGATTATCTTTATCTCTTTGCAAAGATCTTAGAAATCCACTAAGTAGTAGCTCTTATAGCTATTAATAATAAGTAGCCTATACGTCCCTATAGGCCGCGCATAGGAATTAAAGTAACAAAGCTAGTTAAGCGCTAGATTATTGTTTGTCTAGCTAGTAGGACTAACTTAGATTACCTAGTCGCGTGGCAGATCCTCTATAAACTAGGTAGAGATTAGAACCTTGCTAGCAAAAATAAGAAACGCTAAGATACGCGTGCCTATTGCGCTAACGCCTTATATTAGCGTAACCTACTTATAATTGCGTAGCTATATCTTCTTTATTCTTTCTAGTTTATCTAAGCCTATAATAATTAACTATAATAAAATCTTACCTATAAAAAAGCTAGTCTTATTTAAGTTATATATATCTTTATTTATAATACTATACTTTGCATTTATATTCTAAACTAGCTTAAACTAGCCTTTAATAAGCGCTAGGTCTTTATAAAGAGCTTGCTAGTCATTATATAGACAGCTCTAGCGCGTATGTAGCTTAGGATTGCGCTAGACAAACCTATTAACCTAGTTCTTGCCCACCTCCTTCCCGCCACGCTCTTAGAGCAGTCTGTTAGCTATATCTCGCACGTTGTCTTTCTTATAAGGTAGTCCTCGCTTAGCCTTAACTATTACGCGCATAGTAATAGCCTCCTCTTCTAGTTTTGTTAGGCGCCTTGCTAGTAGCTTCTAATTGCTTTAAGGGCGCTATCTAGCTTATTAACGCTAGATTGTTGTTTATAGGACGCTATAGGCGGTAGTAGCGCGTTATTTACTTTAAATTAATTTAGAACTAAGATTAGTAATAGCAAAAAATAGATCTACTTTAGTATAAGTTTTTAACACGTTGCGTTATAAAGACATTGCGCGTTATTGTTGCAAAGGTAGGATATTATAGGGAAGTGGCCTATATACTAGGGTGGCCTGCTTACTAGTGAAACACGTAAATTAGTAATAAAATATTATAAACCAGGTTTTAATATTTTTTTCTATTATTTAGAAAAAGAAAAACTTTACAGGTACTATTCATAATATATAATTTAAACTTTATAATATTACTTAAATTACTTATAGCTACAAAATAAGTATTACTATATAATTATGAAATTATTGGTTACTAGTAAGTAGTTTTTAATAAAACTTACTTTATTTTTCATCTATTTTATTTTTATCAACTTTTTGAATTAGTTGAATTTGTGAAAAGTAATTTAATACTTATTTCATAACTTATTATCTACAATAAAGCTTTTTCATAGTTTATAATAACTTACTTTTAATTAATAACCTATTTTTCTCTAGCGCTAACTTTTAACTTTTTTAGTTATAATATATAAAAAGTTTAAGTTTTTCTTTATTAAGTAAGTTAAAATAAACTTAGTAGTGGGTATTATAAAAAATACTATAGTTTTTACTTCAAGTAGGAATAGCTTTTTAAGCCTTATTTATACTCTTATATAGTACCTCTAAAAGTAAAAAATAGTTATAATTCTCTAATAAGCTATTTTAAAAGTTATTAAAGTTAGCTTTTATAATACTATAAAGCTTACTATAATTTTTTTAATGATATATATATGTAATGGGCGGGCCCAACGGGCCGAGCGTACGACTACTTACGCCATCCATAGCCAAAAAGGCAGTAACAAGACTTCAAGCTTCTTGAAGTCCAGGTAGTCGTATAGATATACTCGCTTAGAAGCTAAGCTGTACATACGTAGGCGTAGCCTCTTACAATATATACTTATAAAGCTTTTACTAGTTAAGCTACGTAAAAAGCTATAAAGCTTTACTAATAGCTTTACTAGTAAAAGCTTTATAAGTTATATACTTTTTAGTATTACTTAATAGCTTATTTAGTTATATAACTAGTACTAAGTTATAATATTATAGTACTAACTCTATATAGTTTGAATATTACAGTGCTAATATAGCCCTCTAGCTTAGTAGGCTTATAGGTAGGTTAAATAACAAATTATTAGTAGGTTGTTTAACCGCCGCCGGGAGGCACGGGTTGCCACACAAGAGAGGGGGCTGAGACTCGGCGAGTAAACCGCGAGCGAGCGAGCCAACGGCTTCGTTTTGCTGAAACCAGAACTGTGATGGCGTCGCACGGCGTGGTTGGGATCTTCGTGACGATCGTGTTCACCCGTGGGATGGGATTGCAGTCACTGGGTGACCACAACGGGTCGAGGGGCTAGCGGCCGGCATTGGATCGAGGCTGGTCCTTGTCTGGGGGGGGGCCCAGCCTCGAGCAAGGCGCGATGCACCAGCAGGCGGTTGCTCTGCAGCAGCCCGAGAGGCGGCGCGCAGGCTACAGCAGCGGTGCGTGGCGTTGGCGCCGTCTAGCAGACATGGTGTATGACGTCGCGGCGACAGGCAGCGCCAGTCAGTCAGTCAGTCAGTCAGTCATGGCAACGCCAGCAGTCTCGCCAGTGCCCGTCTCGCCATTGTCTGCTGACAGGTGGGAGCGCCAGTCGAGCAAGCAGCAAAGACGACAAGCATGGCGATACACGTGGGCCGATCAGCCACCAGGGCGCGTCCCGTTGGCGCCCGGATCCGATACAGATACGCACCCGAGATGGCCGGGTCGGGCGGGCGAGAGCAAGTAAGTATAGTATACAAGTAGAATGGCAGGGCAGGGCAGGGTGAGAGCGCATAGCGCGGTGTCGGGGCTGAGTTGGGAGCAGGCAGCGCGGACGAGGCGACGCGACGTTGGAGGAGGCCGAGCTATGCTGTTGACGGCTCTCGGCCGGGCAGGGAGCGTGGTGATGGTGGTGATGGTGGTGATGGAGGTGGAGGTGGGTGGAGGTGGGTGGAGCGCCAGGGAGGGCGGGCGGCGGGCGTGATTGGGCGCGCGCGCTGCACAGGGCCGCAAGCAGGCAAAGTCAGGTGGCCCGCTTGGCCGGCGAGGGTGTGCAGCGCCCACGACTTGACGCTGATCGCGCGGCCTCGAGGCGGCCAGAACCCCGCAAGCACACCACTCGATGCCTGCACCCATCACCCACCCTCATCGTCGACATCCCACGCACGCACGCACATACACGCACACACTCACTCACACTCACACGCACCACACACCCATACCCGCTCACTCACCCACTCACTCACCCACTCACTCACACGCACGCACGCACGCCTGCCGCAGCTGCGCCTCGATCCATTCGTGGGGCGGGCTTCTGGTACTTGCGTGTCGAGTGGCAGACCTCGCGGCCAGACTCTCTGCAGTAGCGGCGGAGGGAGAATTGGCGGGTGCGCAGGTCCTGCATGCGCAGATGGAAGAGGGTGTAGTTTTGTTTCCGGTGGCCGCGGTCCTCAATCTGCGTGTCCACTCTCAGGTTCATGTTTCCGTCAAGGGTCGAGTCGTCGTGTCGTATTGATATCCGCTTGGACGTGGGGAACAGCTCAGCAAAGTCGCGGGGGGTGGTGGGAATGGCGTCGCCGCCAAGCGGCTCATGGCGAAAGACGGGAACGTCGTAATCGGGCATGCCGTCAAAGTCGTCGGCCAGGTCCTCTTCTGACGTCGACGCATAGGTGTCGACGGACGAGCGCGGGGGCAGCTGCGGATAGGGCGCGACTTGATAGGGCGTGGGCGCAGCATAGTCGCCGTCTTGATGGCGTCCCTGTATGCGGCCGTGGCAGGTTTCGCTGTGGGCCAGCGAGGGTCTCCGGTCGCTGTACTCTGTGGCGGCGGTGTCGTATGAGCGGTTGCTGTTGTCGCTGCGGCCAGACGTGGTGCTGTTGCTCGAGGGGTGGTGGCGCCAATGGGCGGTTGGGGCCATGGTGTGATGTAATGTGATGTGATGCGACGACGAGGGTGCGGAGCGGTGGTGATGGCACCGGGCCTAGTAAGAATATGGGCTAGAAATGTTTGGGTGAACAGACGGGTGAGTTTGGCACTGCAGCTGTCCTGCGACGGCGACAAGCATATAGGCAGACGGCGGGCGACTGGGGCCTGGGGCCTGGAGCGTGGGTGAGGCAGGCGGCGCAGCGATCTGGGACAGCTGACGAAAGGGTGACCTGGCACAAGGCGGGCGGGCGGGCGCAAGGGCTGGGGGGAGGGGATTAATAGCAGCGGTGCAGGCCGACCGAGTGCAGTGCAGGCGTGTAAGCAGTAGCGGCAGCAGAGACGGCCGAGTAGATGGGAGTGGATGGAGGAGGTGGAGGAGGTGGAGGAGGAGGAGGAGGAGGGATAGTAGCAGACGGAGCAGAACAGGCAGAGGAAATGCGACCCGTCCTGCAACGCGCAAGCACCGCCCTGGCCAGCCTCGTCAAGTCGGACTCACGCCCTTCGACGTCAGCAGGCCTCAAGCGCGCCGACTCTGGCTACGACTCTGTTCACTACGGCGGCCGCCCCAACAACAACAACAACAACGACGACGACGACGACGATGACGACGACGATCAACCAGAGGCACGCCCCAAGGCTGTGGGCTACTCCAAGGGCCGCGCGCTGATCCCCACAAACACCATCAAGCTCGAGTTTTCAAATTACGCGCATCTCGATGTCAAGCGGCGCGGAGCCAAGTCGTACAAGAAATACGCGTTTGAGTACTGGGGCCACGACTATTCGTGGAAGCGCATCATCAAGAAGGAAGGCCAGCAAGAGACCATTTCCTACTACTTGGTGCGCGACGACAACGACAAGGAGCCCCTTGCGCACATTTGCCCGGTGCGCGTGAGCCCCAGCGAAGCCCATGAGGAGGCCGCCAGGGGTGGCTGGGTGCCGCCGTGCTATATGCGCATCACGGACGAGAAGGTGCTCAATTCCGACTCGGACATATCGGAGTAAGTAGCAAACTACATGTGAACTCGGGCGCGCGCATGAGGCAGCAAGCTAACGTACATGGTCAACAGTGTTGTCGTTGCCACGGGCCTCATTGCACTTGTGGATGACTGCATCAAGCGCCGCTTCCACTCGCAGCAGAGCACGCATATGCACATTCCGCTGCTGCGCAACTCGTCGTTCAAAATGGCCAATCTGGAGTACATTGGGCCCAAGCGGCTGATTGACGAGGTGTTTAATCGCAAGCAGTACGACGGCGGGCAATCCAAGCGACAGGCCGCGCCGGCTGTGCGTCGTGTGCCGACCTGAGGGGCCAGGCCTCATTGTTTTGGAAAGCATGTTGTGTGCGGCGGGCGGGTGCAGCATCGGACTGCACATGTACGACCAAGCTGTCAGAACTCTTCTGTTGGGACGCTCGCCTGTCACCCGCCGCCGTGCCAGCACCCTCGGTGCTTGTTTGTTTTCCTTTGTTTCTTTTCTTGTTGTTGTTGTTGTTGTTGTTGTTGATGTCTCTGTTCGGTCTTTTGGCATGCGCTATGTGTTTGCTGCATTTGTTGAGCGTGGGAATCTCAGGATACCGTCCCTGGGAGGTATGTTTTGGATGCGTTTGCACGAATCTCGAGGTTTTGGTCACCAACGCCACGATGTTGTTGTTGTTGTTGTTGTTCTTTGCTGTTGCACTTGTTCGCGGATCCGTTACACGTCTTTGGATGCAGATTACGATACCACCTGTTTGGAACGAATAATGAATGGGGCGCGTTATGCCCTGATGCCATTGGTTCAGCATGTGCCCTGCTCCGTGAGCGTATGTATACTTGGTCCGGGCTCACATGTTCGCAGTGTGAGGCCGAGGCCGTGTTTGCTCAGGCGGCGGACGTGTAGCACCTTGCATGACTGGGGTTTGTTTCTGGGGCGGACGTCAAGGCACGAAGCCGGGTGGTGGTGGTGGTGGTGGTGGGTCGGTGGGTCGGTGAGTTCATGGTAGGCAGGTAGGTAGGCGCTCTTTGCTCGACGGCGGCGGCGGCAGGCGTTTGCGTGATGATGGCACAGCATTGGCATCGCGCACACACAGCCCTTGGGCAAGCAGGTACCCGTTATGTCGCTGCTGCCATGTGACTGGCGATTCCTGCCGTTTTCGCCACCCTATGCATGTCATGCCATGCCAAGCCAGCAGGTGCGAACCGCTCCGCCTCTCCACCTGCCCTGGCCGCTCTGGCACGACGGCCCTGTGAATACCGACAGGACCAGAACACCACACGCAAGACGACGACGACGACGACGACGACGCTGCGCCGGCCCTCGGTGCATGTCCCCGGCAGGCAAGCCAGCGCCTGGCCGTGCTATCACGGGCGGCGGCGCGGAGGGCAACGGCGGGTGTTCTGACTACTGCTGCATGGTGAGCTGGCCTGGCACTAGCATGATGCCTTGCAGCGCGGTGGATACGCACATGTTGTGCACTGAGGGCCTTTTTCTTGGGCGCCGGTTCCAGAAGACGCTCGCCGTGGCACTCCAAGAGCTCCAAGTGACAGCGCTCGGTGCCGGATGCTGCATGGGGCCCTTCCCGTTTGGGATGCTGGCAGGCCACGGCCACGGCTACCGTCAACTCTCCGCACACGCACACGCACTCAGCCATGCAGCTTAGCCATGTTCTTGGTTCTCTCCCACACCCCGTCGGCCCGCTCTAGAGGTCGCCTCTCGACCCAATGGCTTGGGCCCGCTGAGCCTGTGCAAAAATGTGACCTGGGCACCGCTGCTGGCTGTGTGTGTGTGTGTGTGTGTGCTCCAACAGAGTATGACTGACGAGGCAGCTTGCCGCACTCCTTTGTTACTCACTGCTGCCCTCATACTCGTCTCTGCGCCGTCTGAACGAGGTGCCTCTCCATGTCGCCGAGTTATAAGTAGCCCTCCGCTGCAGAGCACCGCCGGACACTGGTCCGCCAAACCTCCTCCCCCCAAGCCTCTCCCTCGCCTGCGCACGCCTCTGCTCTCTCCGCCTGTCCTCTCCTTTGCCCTCTTGACGTAGTCTGATACGCCTTGCCTGCATCTGCACACCTGCCACGCCCACCATGGCAAGCCCAGAATCTTGGTCGCAGCGTCTTCGAGGTCCGCCCGCCATTGCCCTCCCCCCCCCCCAGCATCACACACGCCAATGCACTGACACGCCCGCCAGAACACTGCCTCGTTCGAGGCTTGCCAGAGCCTACCTACACTGACCTCTCGGACCGCAGAGGTAGGGCGCCTTGGACGCGCCCCGTCCGGTCAGCCAGCGCCCAAGAGCAAGCATTGCTGACACTCAACCTCAGGAGGCCGCACCGCCTGGACTACCATGGTCGCCGTAAGCGGTACTAGCTACCAGGCCCGCTTCTGGTACGATGGCACCTATCTCCACCAAGCAAAAGAAGACTGTTCCGAGGTGGCCCTGAGGTCCATCACTGGGTACACAAACTCGGCCCAGACACCACCACCAGCCAGTCACTATCGAAGCCTGGCCACCCAGCTCGACCAGTCCATCACCTCCTGATGGCCAATCTGACTGGCTGACTCTTCATCCCACCACACCCAAGCAGACTACATGGGCGTTCTGGCATAAGTGTCGTATAACAGCCGCGTCTGACACTAGTCGCTCCATGCTGGAGCTGATAGCACACACTAGCTCTGAACCGCCATGGTATTGGAGTTGAGGACAGGACGGCAAATAGGGAGGCAATGTCATTACCATGTACTGTATCTCGGCCATAATGAGAGGCTGTTTTTGCATTGTCTGTGTGTGTCTGTTGCTGCTCGTTGCTCGTCATGGTCTTGATGCACCGTCGCCGCTTCCTCTAATCACGGCACACTAGGAACTAGCGCCACTGCCTACAAGACGTTGTGGCGCTTTGGTACAAACTCTGTGCCCAGCCAGATACACCTACTACACCTACTACAATCCCATTCACATGCTCCATCAACAAGGCCACCGTGAAACACCGCCCAGCGTTGCTTCTCCCGCCATATCTCCCTCCCTCCCCGCAATCCATCCACATTGCCCGCTGCACCCGCCTCCAGCGCGACATTCTGGCGCCACTGCTGCCCCACCTGCATAGACAGACAAAGCCAGTCAATAGCTCGTCACCTGCTGACGTGAAAACACAGGCGCCCGGCACAACCTCCGCGCAGGCGAGGCCGTGTGCCCTAAGCTAAGTCGTCAGCGCGGCCCCACGCGCACCGGGTCGCAAGTTCGCATTAGGCCGGCGGCAAGCCTGCTATCTGACACTAGTAGAAGCCTGCTCAAAGGTAGAACCGTCAGATATGTTGCTCTTCTGTGAGCCGTCGATGCAGTTGGTAGCCAGTGGCCTGGCTGTCTTGACCACCATGGACTGACTGCCGAGGCCTGTCAACAAGACGCCTTTTTGCATATCAAATTGCATTCCAAAACACAAACAAAAACGTTAGCAAGTCGCCAGCATCCCACATTGGCCACACAGGCTGTGCTCCAATCGCGTCAACATGCCCGACACTACACATTGCATAGACGCATCTGCTCTACGCGACATAGTCTGTGGCACCTTAAAGTGGGATTCTAGGAACCAGGGTCTCATCCCTTGCCACATGATCGAGGACCATTTGTCAAGGGAGGAACAATTCTTGTCGGCCAGGCTGCGGTTGGCTGTCCGCCCGCTCGGTGGATTACGAGTCACATTCGTAGACGATGTCGCTCGTGCTGTATGTGGGACTGTGGGTAAGCGAAGCCGTTCATCTATCGAAAGCCTTTTGAATTGCGAATCCAATGCAGATCCTGGTGGCATACATCATAGCAGCCCCGGGGAAGATTCTGGACGAGCCTTGAAGACCACTGCGCGGAGCCTCCACAGCCAATCACTCCCCAGCGCGAACTACGGGATATGCGGCCGTATGCTTGGTGACAGTCACACATGATCGGTTTATCTCGCCGTCCTCTCGGCATTCGCTGGGCTGTGTTCCAATGGGGCTCGCTGGCGCCAAAGAGAACACGACTTCAGGGGTATTCCGATATTCGCATCCTCTCATTTAGCGTCAAGAATAACCGGGGACTCAACAAGCCCTCATTCGCTCTGCACAAGACCATAAGCCTGTTCGCCACGTACTGGTGTGTATGCATGGATGGGGTAGGCCTGTCCAAGCCTCGCTGTGCTATCGCTTGCTGGAATCCATAAACTGGCGACGGGAGTAGTGCTGTAGAATCATTCCGAACTCCTGGATTCCACGAGAATATCCAAAATCTTCAAAGCAAGTTGCCATGGATAGTTTGATTGTGTCAGAGATGTTGGGTGCTTGTGTTTGGTGGGTGGGATTCCGCTTACATACTATATTTCACTCCCTGTTGGTGTAACGACGTAGATCGTCGGGACATTGGCTCTCCGAGACAACCGAATTTGGTCGTCGGCAGAAATGAGACCATCTTCTCATCCTGTTGAACACTTCTGATACGATCGATACGCCCTCCGAGGACCCATTTCGCTCCTTCCACAGCAATCAAGCCACCGTATTGGCTTCTTCGTCGTCTCGCCTGCACACCCACAGCAACAAGCCCACTCCGAACAATACCATTCGCTTGACGCATCGATTCTTTGCCTGCCACGCAGCACCATGCCTACGCCAACATACACTCCACAATGAATAAGCGTGGCTCAGCCTAGAACATCCCGCTATGCAGACATCGTCCCAGCGCGACAGGCCACGCCAACGCGTCTGGACATTTGTGTGCCGCAAAGACACGTCTTCCCACAAGAAGTCTCTGTTCGCTCACCAGCTAGCAGCTCCTTGGCGCGTGTTTACTGGTAGTGTCAGTCCTTCCAGCAAAAGGAGATGAGTCTGGCCTCGTAAGTGAACCAAGCTTACGCGACCAGCTCACGGACAAGTGCCTGTCAGATAGGGTCAAGTCTAGAATAGACGGTACGTATTATCGATGTGGTAGTAAGATTGTCATGAAGAAATACTGATGGCTGGTAGCTGGAATGCAATATTGCTCTGCGTCGAGAGCTGCGTCCACCGCTCCAACACGTTTTGGGTCCCATCGAATGGCACCACGGCTCCTGCAATCGTCACACGACCATAAGGCTCGCGGCCGGATAGTTATAAGACGGCGAATAGAGCAGCCGTCAGAATACCACAACGGATGCTCAGAGAGGGACTATCCGATTAGACGTGGCGTTGGGTCATGCAACCCATGGTTCTCCCAATCTGTCTTCATTGTATTCCCGCATAACGCTAGGATATGCGCTGGCGGAGTATCTGCATCAAGGTGGCACGGCTACGAATTACATGCTTCTTTCGAACAGCCTAGGGGACATGGTAGAACGACCCCGTCCGCCACTTCTACACAATTCATTTGTAAGCCATCCACTGGTGGCTTGGACTCGGCTTATTGGACAGGCTAATGTCTCGTGGGTCTGCAGATACAGAGTGGCAGTGAGAGGGATGATTCGAAGAGAATTGCTGGACTACTTGGCACACCCATGGGACTCTTTCCACGCGTCAGGCAGTGCAACGTCTTCATGGCGGTATCCCTTCAAAGCACAATATCTGAGAAGCTATAGTATAGACTCAGGGGCATATTCGACGTGCTTACCGCGGCAGGGAGACAGCGGGTCATCATCGTTTGACCCTTTCTGAAGGCGCCGCTGTTTTGCTTAGCCGAATGAGGCAGCGAAGTGGTTAGCGGAACCGCGTCGCCGAAATATAACAAGGCTAACAAAAAACGGTTCATCCTGTCCACTGACAGGATTGAGCCGAACACAGCACATGGTCTCTTTCACCAGAGGCCGGGACAAGAAGCACGACTGAAGTTACCTATTATACGCATGCGACGAAGTAATCTTGATCAGTCTGACCAAATCTGAAACACAGGCACAGTCAACAACATATGCTCCCTCTGTTGGCACATGACTCCTCGAAACACGGCAGGCTGTGCAAGACCTGATGATATTGCCCGGCATTTGGATCCCGGTCCGACCCGTATCGGGGCGTACCTCCCGCTGATCTAGGCACGTGTGCGGCTACCTCATTTTCGGTCATGGAACTTACTCAAGGCTCACCAGCTGTGGGCAAAAGATTACCCCTGATCTGCTGCTCTTGCTGCGACTGCACCATGAATCAAGTCAGAAAAAGGGTGTTCGCCGGTAGATTCGCCTCTGGCGGAAATTGCGGCTGTGACGTTCTCATTCTGTCTCTGCATGCATGTAGCTGCGGGCACTGTCACAGCGCACGGGCGTGAAAGCTGCCGACGGGATCCACTGCCCTTGCGCTCGTGGGTACGCTCAAAGGCAAGTTCCGACAGAAGGGATTACTCTTCAATCTCCTGTGTTGTTTTTTGTGTGTCGAGGAAACGATGCTTTGTTCCGCAGTCAGACTGTCTGTCATTGCTACGCATTTTCGTCTCTATCCCCTTATCATGTCTTAGAATCCAGCTTCTTGTAGGCGTACAAGACAGGCTGAGCACGTGGCCATGCTGACAGGACAGAGAATCAAGGTTTCTGACGCTCCAGCTACGCTCCAGCTACGCTCGCGACGTCTAGTCGATGGACCTCCGCAAAGCCGCTTCACGATTCTACATTTGGCAAGACAAACTGTACGAGTTCTACCCCTATTGCTACGTCTAGTTCCTCCGGATACGATTCTCAAGCGTTTCTATCCTCTCCTGACCCGATCTTGTCCACTACCTCGTTGTCATCGATCCCCGTGTCCTTTGGGGTCTGGACGGACAGAAACACCGCCACCCCACAAATACAATGATTTAAGGATATGCAAGACTGGGAAGAATTCGAATAGAGAACCCGTGCAAGCAATATGGGCGAGCCTGCGATGCGTAGCACTTGAGGCACAACCACTTGGGGAAGTGGACAGTGTTTGGTGGATGCCCCGTACTGGCGCCTGCTCATAGGGGGTATACCACGTATCTCTGACAGTACACGACAGTATGCCTATGGAAGCGAGCTCAGAATGAGCATCCTAAACACCCAGTCTATACTATTGGCAGAGGTTCACATATCATTCAGGAGGTTGAACAGGATAAGTTTACCAAGCAGTTTGAACTGCCGCTTACCGCACCAGAACATTGAATTCCGTTCTTCTTGCAACCCCGTTTCATTCCTCACGCTCTCATAACACGTCACGTTTCCCGACCCAGTATGCTCTGATGCGCGTTGTCGTGCAACCGACACCGCCATTCTTATTCGCGCTTACGGTGACGCGAGAATGCCGAACACAAACACGCTACACGATCGATTACACTGCTATACCCCGTTGGCCTCGGCTAGTCTTCATGGACTGCTCATCACAATAAATACACGCAGAAGTACATTTGGGTGGGCAAATGTGGCTGTTCCGTCAGGGCGCGCATGAGGCAAAGCCACACTGACGTTTGACAAATTAGACCAAACGTAAGCAACGGCGCGTCGGGAGCTGTGTATATAGCGGCTACTCGCGTCGGTGCCAGACTTATGCAGCGAGGGAAACCTTGTTTTCCCGCTGCGCAAGTGGGGATCCGCAGCCGCGCTGTTAGTAAACCGAGTAAACCGACGCTGACGACGATTTAGTCTGTTGATTATATATTAACAAACAAGCCTGTGGTAAAGAATCGAAAAGAAAGAAAGAAGAAACAATCTTCAATATCTCTCTTCCGCACATCCTCTGTTTTAGCTTTTGTTCCAGAAAAATAAAATAACACCTCTCGAATATCGCATCATTCCGTACTTACCAACTCCACAGCTTAAACTACAACTACAACTACAACTACAACTACAACTACAACTACACAGACAACTACAACTACACAGACAATGCCTCCCTCTACGTCTCCACCACCCCCACCCCCACCCACAGCCTCGCAAACCTACAAGTCGCTCCACGAAACGGCCCTCGGCTTCCTCGCCGCCTTCGGCCCCGCTCCCTCGCCCTCCAGCACACAACAACAAATAAACTACTCCGTCATGGCCTCGCACTGCAGCCCCGCCTACACACACTCGTGGGGCCACAACCACGCCGTATCGCAGTCGCCTCCACTCCAGGGCCTGCTCTCCTTCCAAGACTTCACCGCACACCTCGACAAGATGGTGCAGCGCCTCGCTAGCTGGCACATGGCCGTGACCCGCGTGTTCGTGGATGAAGCTAGCTTGTCGGTCGTGGTGCGCGCCACTTACTACATGGTAGCCCTGGGGCATGAGGAGCACGTCATCGAGAACGATCTAATCTGGGTGCTGGACATGGAGCAGCGGCCGCAGCAGCAGCAGCAGCAGAGTCAGGGGACCGTGAGTGCAGATGGCGCGGCGCGCTTGTGGATTACAAAGACGGTGGAGTTTGTGGATGCGGTTGCTACGGCTAGGTTGAGGGAGATTATGATGGGCAAGGCGGGGACATAGCTGTGTGTGTGTGTGTGTGTGTGTGTGTGTGGAGTTGGGGGGGAAGTGGGTGGTGGGTAAAAAAGGGGAATAAAGGAATCAAGGGCGTATTTTGGTACAAGCCATATATATGTTTGTACTAGTGTTGGATAGTAATTTCCATCTGAGCAATGTTTTTTCTTTTTCTTTCCATCTTGCTCTAGTTACTTAAGTAGTGACCTTTTTACAACATTCCCGCATGTATATATATATATATATATATATATGTATTCTCCCCTTTGCAGAATCCTGGAAACGGCTCAGTTGGACGACATTAACATTGCCATTATTCTGGATTCCTACCCCCCCAAAAGCCGTACGCCAATGCATGCAGTCAGTTAGTCAGTCAGTCCAATTTCCATCATACTCCAGTCTATAAACGCAACTAACAATATTCAAAAAAAGAGAGATTTTTAATCAGCCCTCTGAATGCCATCCGCCCAACTAGGCTCAATGCCACTACACACATCAACATAGGCATCCCAGCGCTTCATGTGCATTTTGACCTCTGCATGCACCCCGGCAGGTGTATCTCCCCATTGGGGCTCGGACCACGGCTTGTCGACATGGTGCGTAGTCCAAAACATGGTCCACTGGCCGCCGGGCAGATTCCACATGCCCTTGCTCCTCTCCTGGTACCACTTGTTTACGGGGTTGCTGGTGCGGCTGCGCCACACGACGCCGGCGGGAAAACAGGTGCGTGTGAGGGCGGCCCAGACAATGTCTGAGACGCCGCCGGAGCCCTGCGAGGACGTCAGGACGGCGAATTTATCCAGGTAGGGGATCCAGTAGGGTGAGTCTGGGGACGAAGATGCCGTGGTGGTGCAGTGCAAAAGGGATCTGGGCGTCTCCCATGTGCAGATTGCGCCGCCCTCGTAGTCGCCTGCTATGATGATGCCTGCGACGCGGCCGCGGATGCGGTCGAGGTAATTGTCTGGATGAATTTTGCGGCGAAACGAGTCGTTGATGAGGTCGACGAGTTTGGGAAAGTTGATGCGGGCGTCGTTTGCGAGGTCGATGCTTGGGTTGGAGGCTGAGGGCGGCTGCCATGGGCCGTGGATGCGCGGATCGGGGATCATGGTTAGTGGAATGCCTTTCTTGAAGAAAGTAGCCGGGTTGGGTGCTGCCGAGCCCAGATACCGAGAGGTGGGTGATGTGGGGAGTGAGGAGGAAGTCATGGGCTTGTCGGTTAACACGTTGTGGAGTAAAGGATTCTTGGATGGGGTTGTCTGCGTGTCGTCTGGTATAGCCTTGCGTGCAGCCTCGAGTGGAGTGAGAATTAGGCCAGAGGAAGAAGAGGGTAGTAGTTTCAGTCCACGCTGAAACACGTCGAGGTTCTTCAGATGGCGCATAGGAGCTGAGCCGCTCCACGGCTCTGATGCCGCGCCGGGTGGTGCAACGATCTCATGCTCGACGAATTTAGAAATGGGATTGCTGGCACCCAACCATGAAGTGTTGGAGGTATCGCTGCGCTGTGCGCTTGTCAGTGACAGCTGCTGTAGCTCTTGCTGAATATTCTGGTACTCGGCTTCGAGGTTGACAAAAACATGAGCACCGTCTGCGCGGTTTTCGGATGGTATACCACCAAGCGGATCGAGGATAATGATACGGTCCAAGACGGGCTTTTCGGCAAGATCTGCTGTCTTGTGCAATGTAGCCTGTGATTCGCTAGCCTCGGCTTGTCCAGAGATGCCAGAAAACTCGCGAATCAGCGCAAGCAGTACATCATCCGCTTGGACTCTGACTTTCTTAAGGTTCTCATCGTATGCAAATGGCGTGATTACCGGAATGATTCCGTCGTCGATGGGAGGGAAGAGCAGGTAATTGTGTTGCACCACTACGTCTCCTCGAACTTGAGCCGTACTGGGTGTTTCGTTGGTGAACGGCGTGTAGCCCAAGGCGTCTTCCACCAGTAATGCTCCTGGCTCGTTGTAGTTCTCCAATGCGGCGACGAGGCGCAATGCCTCTTGCCGGACCATGTTGCCATGCTCAAACTCGAATTCGGTACTGGGGATGCCGACCTCGTCGTCGCAGTCTATTACCACTGCTGTATTGAGGCCCAGCTGGGCCATTTGACTCAAGGTCCGTGCTATATCGCCAATCACGCGGTCGTTGAGCGCCTGCGGCTTCCGGAGTTTGATCAGCGCCAGATGTACCGGCTCATCCTTCTCTTCGATCTGGTATTGCTCTTCGGGGAGTGGTTCGCGGGTGAAGACAGACGGCTTGTACAAGTCGCCCAAATTGACGCCTGTTCGCAGCGAGCCTGAATCGTCATGCAAGGTCTCGCTAGCAATCTGCTTGGCTTGGGCCGCGATGGCGGGTTTTGCAGGCTTAGTCTTCTTGGGCGAGTCGAATTGTTTGAGAAAGTTGCGTGCATCGCGCTTGCCGGGCGACTCCTTGAGCAGGCGGGTCAACTGCTCGCGTTCGGCGCGCTGGCGCGCTTTGGCAGAGCTTGAGGATTTGCGGACATATTTGGTCGAGGTAGAGAGGCGCGCATGTTGCGTCGTTGCAAGGCGCTTGGTCTTGTCATGGCCTCTGGGAAGCTGTTGCTGTCAGCACTGACGCGCATGTAAAATATCGATATTCGGTTGCGGGCGCACATTCTGCGTAGCCTTCCCCAAGCCCCTCGCGGGGGCTTTGCTCCAGATGAACATGCTTCATGCCTCCGTCGAGTCGCTGCAAACCCAAGGACCAGAAGCTGTGTGATTGCGGGTTTGGAGTCAGAGTATGACTCTGCGAAAGTGCAGAGATTTGTGGCCGCACATGTCCAATCCAAACTTCGTCGACGATGACTGCACGTCATTTGCTACCTGATAACCGACATCGGCCCGTTGGCCTGACTTAACTCCGGGCCATCTGCCGTGTTGAACATCCTACAAAGACGGCAGCACTCGCTCCCAGCCTCTGCAACACCAGAATTCAGTGCTGTTTCATCGTACTGGGCACCAATTCCTCGTCCCAAAAGCAAGTATATATCGTCGCATCGCAAATAAGACATCATGGCCCCGCAACTCGCGTGGATCGGCCTCGGCAACATGGGCAGGGCAAGTATAGCCGACTACCTTTGGTTCGACAGGTCACTGACCAGCGCAGGGCATGTAAGTAGACGCAGTCCGAGATTCTTCGGGCGTACGGAATTCGTCACCATGGCCAAGAGCCGCAGAGCCGCCGAGTCTCTCGTCCATACGTTCGCGGGCTGCGGCCTCGACCACGGAAAACAACTCTCCGATTTGAACGCACACTAATCCGATGCGCGTACCAGGTGCAAGAACCTCGTCGAGAAAGGCAACCTCGACAAGCCCCTGGTCCTGTACAATCGCACAAAGGCCCGTGCCGAAGAGCTCTCGCAGAAGCTCGGTACTTCCAAAACCAAGGTCGTTGATACCGTCGGCGAGGCTGTCAAGTCTGCTGACATTATCTTCATGTGCATTGGCGACGATGCAGCCGTAAACACCGCAGCGGATGCAATGGTGCAGGAGGACATCAAAGGCAAGCTCATTGTAGACTGCTCGACGGTGCATCCCGACACGACCAATGGGCTGGAAAAGCGGCTCGCCGAGCATGGCGCTGAATTCGTCGGCATGCCTGGTAAGTCTCATTCGAGGTGTAGATTATAGTGTATCCCGGACCCGGCTGATGGTTGCCAAAGTGTTCGGCGCCCCAGCCATGGCAGACAACGGGCAGCTAGTCTGCGTGACGGCTGGCCAGAAGGCTGCTTGCGACAAGGTGCTCCCCTACACTACCGGTGTCATGGGCCGCACCAACATCGACTTCTCGAGCCAGCCAGCGGGAAACGCTACCCTCCTGAAGGTGATTGGCAACACATTTATCATCAACATGGTCTCGCAGCTTTCCGAAGGCCATGTTCTAGCCGAGAAGTCAGGCCTGGGCGTAGACAACCTCCACACGTTCATCTCGCTCATGTTTCCGGGTCCGTACACGGCCTACTCACAGCGCTTGCTGGCTGGCGACTACTACCAGCGCGAGGAGCCCTTGTTCGATGTAGACCTCGCGCGCAAGGACGCGCGACACGCCATGGCGCTGGCGGAGAACAGCGGGGCCAAGGAGAGCGTGAAGATGCTTGGTTTGGCACAGCAAAGGCTGGACAAGGTCAAAGAGGAACTCGGGGATAAGGGTGACCTCCCAAGCATATACGGTGTTGTGAGAAAGGAGGGCGGGCTGGACTTCAAGAACAAGGGTTAGCGGAGGTCATGTGCGGTTTACTTAGCAAGGGCAAAACGGGCATGGCTTGGCCCCCGCCTCTTGGTTCCCCCGCTTCCCCACCAGGGCAGATACAACGGTTGGTAGACGATGCGAATAGACGGTGGATTAGTATTAGGAGTACGAGAAGCCGCGCCGCATGCAGCGTAGCCGCGCCGCTCGACTGACCTTCCACAAAGTGTTAGCGTTTGCAGACATGGACATGTGCATGTAGCCGGAGCATTGCCCCAGGCGGTTCAAACATGCTGCGAGAGCGCTGATCCGTCTGGCCCAGCACCACCAATCAAAGCACGGCGTCGGCCCAACAATCCACCGAGGATGAATACCAACGTCATATGACGCTACGCCCGCTAGTGCAAGCACTCCCCGGACTTTACCCCAGCTTTCTCCATCCCCCCAGCGACACGAGTGATAGGGACGCGGCCTGGGCTTGGCTGCAACGGGCGGAACCAGAGCCAGCCTGTGATACGGCAGTCCGTACAGGATTTCTGGCGGCCTCCGGGGGAGAGGTGTGGTGGGGTTGGCGGGCACATGGGCCCGATAATCTCGCCGTCACTTGTCGTCGAGGTGGTGCTTCTGTTGGGTTCAAATGACAGGTACTTGAGAGGGGACCCTGCAGTTTGTTTTGCCTCCCACTACATACCTTCTCTCCCTCGGCATCGCGACCGTTGCGAAGTCGTGCACTTCTTCTTCTCTCCCTCCCTTCCCCCCCCCTCATCTCACGTCATCTACTTTGTCTCTACATATATACACAAAGTAGACGGCCTATCGACGTGTCAAGTCGCTGTGCGCTAACTTTTGTTGGACCAACGCACGCAGCATCATGGGGTTTCTGAAGCGGCCAAAACTACGTAGTCGCGATGATCAGAGGACGCGCGCGGCTGAGCTCACGCTGAGGGAAAGTATCTATCCGCTCTGCTTGGTGACGATCCTCTTTTTTCTCTGGGTAAGTCGCACGGTTGCTGTAGCGGTCGTACGACCCATTGACCACTCCTCAGGGCTTCTCCTACGGCCTCATCGACACGCTGAACAAGCATTTCCAAGTCACGCTTGGCATCACGCGCTCCCGCTCGTCTGGGCTGCAGGCAGCATACTTTGGCGCCTACCCGCTGGCATCGCTGGGCCACGCAAACTGGCTGCTGCGACACTGGGGCTACAAAGCCACGTTCATCTGGGGACTGACATTGTATGGCATTGGCTCGCTGATCGCGTGGCCGTGTCTGGTATACCGGTCGTTTGGCGGTTTCTGTGCCGCCATCTTCGTTATCGGCAATGGACTAGGGTCGCTTGAAACAGCCGCAAATCCTTACCTTGCAGGTGTGTATTGTGATGTGTGGCAGCAAGCATTGCAGGCACTAACAAAGTGTAGTTTGTGGCCCGCCCAAGTATTCCGAGATCAGGATCAACATTGCGCAGGCGTTCAATGGCATTGGAACGGTTGTCGCGCCCGTCCTGGCGTCATATGTCTTCTTCAACAATGTAGGAACAGACCAGAAGGCCTTGGAAAACGTACAGTGGACATACCTGGGAATCGCGTGCTTTGTCTTTTTGCTCGCAGTTGTCTACTACTTTACCGAGATACCTGAGATTACTGGTAAGCTTCGTGTTGCGGGAAGTTTAACTATGTGCTGACGTATGATGCAGATGCGGATATGGCTTTCCAGGCTGAGGCCGCCAACGCTGAGGTTGAAGTCAAGCCGTTCCGCAAGCAGTATCGCCTCTTCCATGCGACGTTTGCGCAGTTCTGCTATACTGGCGCCCAAGTTGCGATTGCCGGAGCCTTCATCAACTACGTTACCGAAACGCGAGTGAATGCCAATGGAACCATCACCGACAACGCTACGGCGTCGCGATTCCTTGCGGGGGCACAGGGGTGTTTCACTGCGGGCCGATTTGCGGGCAGCGCCATCATGAAGTATACCAAACCGCGATGGGTGTTTCTAGTCTTCATGTCCATGTGCATCATCTTCATCATTCCGGCCATTACGGAGCGACACAACACGGGCATGGCCATGCTGTACATGGTGCTCTTCTTCGAGAGCATCATCTTCCCGACCATTGTGGCGCTTGGCATGCGTGGCCTGGGCAAGTACTCGAAGCGCGGATCGGGCTTCATCGTGGGCGGAGTAGCTGGCGGTGCCGTGGTGCCGCCACTGCTTTTTGCAGCCAGCGACTCGCTTGGAAAGCCTCGACCGCTGGATGGGTATGCGCCGACGGCCACGGCCATGACGGTTCCGCTGGCCTTTTTCGTTGCGGCGTGGACGTATGCGTTCTGCGTCAACTTTGTGCCGGCTTACAGGAATGTTGCCGACACGTTCTCGGCGACTGAAATTGGCATTACCAATGCGCATGCAAACGATGCCGAGAATCAGATTGTGCACGGCGAGGTTGACAAGGCGAGCTCGCCGGCGCATACGGAGCAGATTGATAGCGAGAAGAAGTAGCGGGGAGCTGCAGCGGCTGTGAATGGCGGCGGAGGAGGGTTCCATGTGCGCGTGTGTATGTAGGGTAGCACGGCGACGAAATATACCAAGTGTTGAAGTGACGACGGCTCCAGGCCAAGGGGTGTGTTTGCTGACGTGATTTGGTGTACCGTGCTGTGCAGCTTCGCATTTATGCCGGTGAGCTTACGGGCGCCACGATTCGCAGGCACGGCTCAGAGGCTGCTGGTCTGGGCTTGGTGCCAGTGCAGGAGCAGCGCCTCGAGCGAATGCGCGGCCCCGCGCCAGACTAGGCGGCCCCGCGTACGGCAAATACGACAGTGCTGGCGCCCACGGTGGTGAGTAGTGCCAAAAAATGGATAAATAAATGGGCACAGTGAAGCTGAGGGCTGGATGCAGCTCGTGTGCATACTGCTCTGGCTATGTATACCGGCCGATGAGGCGGCGCTGCCAGGCCGCAAAGGGCGTGTCGCAGCTTTAGTGGACATGGGCAAGGTTGGCAAGTATTGGGTTACGCGTCTTGGACGTGGAGAGGCAGACGGGTGGGCGCGAAGGGGAAGACTTGGAGGGTTTCGGAGAAGGTTTGAGTCGGGAGAAGGTGCTTATGGTGCTGATGGACCGAGACGGCCGCGTGCTGGGCAGCCTGAGTGCAGGGAGCCCGTGTGCGTGAGCCGAGTGCAGGCGAGGCGCGGCGAGGGGAGCAGAGGAGGAGCATTCGAGGGCGGCATCAACGGGGCGCCGTATATGTACAGCGCGCGCGTTGGCGAGGGCGAGGCGGATGAAGGCGATGCTGGGCATGACGACGCGGGCGACGATGGCGGCGGCGGCGGCGGCGGCGGTGGTGGTGGTGGTGAGGATGACTGGGTGGGCACGGCCGTGTCTCCACGCCCTCCCGCTAGCGTGTGGGCGCCTAGCACAGCCCGGGCGACATGGCCTGCAGGTGCCGAGCAGCCGTGCCTGGCGAGACTAGACAAGACGACTCAACACCACTTCTTCTATACCACTCCCGCCGCCGCCGCCAACCACCAAACAACCACCCCCCCCACTCCCACCATAATCCCCGCCCCAGCCCGGCCATGCCGAGTGCCTCTCGCCGCCATTGCTGCGTCGCATCGCACCACTAGCCCGCCACGAAGAATGCGGTGGTCATGGACAGGAAGGCCCTCTTCTTCCCGTGGTAAGCGCGACCCTCTCCGCCGCCGCCGCCTCCTCCGCCTCCTCCTCCTCTACACTGCTAACCGCCCCAACAGCGGCCTCGTCTTAGCATCAGCCTACCTGAGCACCGCCACTCCGCTCGACTACTCGTTTGCCCTCGACAAGCCCCTGCACACGCTCGCCTTGGTGCTGCTCCTGACCGGCCTCGCCCTCGTCGCTGCCGAAGCCTGGTCGTCCCGCCGCCGCCCTCACCACCACACGCACTACCCGCCCCAGCAGCCCGCCACCTACATCGCCCTCGCCCTCAGCAATGTCCAGACGCGCCATCCCGGCGAGGAGATCTGGTCCGAGGCCGGACTCCACGGCCGCCCCAGAGCCTGGAGCGTGAGGGCCGTCGGCGCCCTGTTGGCGCTGCTGCTGTTTGCCATATGCGGTCGCATCGCCATCTTCTACCGCGTCATCAGCCATGTCGAGTGCAGCGGCCCCTCTGCATGGGTGCGTCGCCCAGCGCCGTGTCTTTTTGCTGCGACATACTGACTCTTCCAGCCATTCCTCCCGCTCGTCGTTGCCCTATACCACAGCATCCGTCACCCCAGTCAGCGCCAGTACCCCGCCTGGAGCCCTGACACGCGCATGCGCTCACCACTCGACCGCGTCTTTGGCTTCGTCTTCAATGGCTCTACGCGCTACATTATCCCCTCTCTCCTGCTCTCCATCAGCAGTTTCCTTGTCAGCATCAAATCCACCACCCTGCGCTCTTCGTACATCTGCTCCATTGCAAACTCGGACGCCACCAGTATTCCTTCCCTGCAGTTTTTCGGCTTCTTGTTAGACTGCATTGTCGCCCAGCTGATTTACCGCCTGGTCGACGACGGCATTTCCGAGCCCGACGATTGGTCTATCCAGCTCCAAGATGGCACCTCCAACCACCTGCTAGTCGGCTTGACTTTGATTGTACGTTGCACTGTACGCGCGCAACGTTTGCCCAGCATGCTAACCCAGCCAGGCATCATCTCTGGTTCTTGTTGTCGCTGGCATTGTCATTTACCCTGCCATGCCCGAGCATCGCGAATGGATGCTCTCATTTCCTTCCGACTATCTCCTTGGTCTTTTGCGTTTGTCCTTGATGATACCCTTTATGACGTTATGTTTTATAAAATCGGTATGTTTGGCCGCTCGTCTCCCCTGCGGACTGCTGCTCACTCTGCCCAGGCTCGTTTGTATGGCGTTATGAGCTCGGTGCTCATTGTTGCATTTTCCTCTGCATATATTGGAGTTCTTCGCGCACTGGGGACCGGCGTGTCCCACTCGTTTCCACCAAAATCCACGGTTGGACTTGTTTTGTGTTTGACATTGCTTACTATTGCGCTCATCATTCATCTCTTGACAGATACAAACATCGAAACCCGCATTCGCTCTACGGTGCCAGTCCGCTTGGGAAGAAACCAGTCCGCTACATTCATCGTGCTTCTCATCGCCTTTTCCATAGGTGTTGTTGTATATCGCCGACAAGGGCCAGTACTCGAGCACCCCATTGCGACGCTAATCGACATTGCTGCCGTGCAACATGATCAGTGGGCTTCGCAAGCACATCGGAGCAACTCGCTGGCTGAGGCTGTCGTGCACTACCGCCAGCGCTACAATCGCGACCCCCCGCCCAATTTCGACAAGTGGTACAATTTCGCCGTCAACCGTAACTCAATTGTGATTGATGATTATGACAACATTGAGGAAGATCTAGCCCCCTTTTCGTCCTTCAACCCTGACGATTTGCGGTTGCGCACTGCAACCGTCCTGGCTACTCGGGACGGTGTTGGCGGTATCCGCATCAGGGACGGGAAAGCAGGCCTATTTGACAATGTGGAAGAGGCGCATCGAGAGACTATGGAGGGTGTGGTCGCTATGATTCAGAAGTTCGCCGAGTTTCTTCCTGATATGGATTTGGCCATGAACATGCAGGACGAGAGCCGTGTAGCGGTTCCCTACGAGCGCCTACAAGACGCGCTGGATAACCCGCAACCGTATCCCATGTCTGAGTCGGATCGCGCGGCCAAGGGTTTCAGTGCAGACCGTGCAGAGAAATGGTTGCATATGGATCATGTCAGGAATGACCCACACTTTTTTGAAGATGCTCGATTGAAGCCCGCCTACGAGACATACGGCTCCATCGCCTGCCCGCCCGAATCGCGCGCGCGCAAAGAGCGTCACTGGAACACAAAGACTTTTTGCCATACCTGCACCCAAGGCCACTCGATTGGTGCCTTTGTCGCCAATTGGACCCTGTCAGCCGATCCCTGCCATCAACCGGATATTGCAAACCTCCATGGCATGTATCTGAGTCCGTCGGGCTTGATGGGCACTCACGACATCGTCCCAATCTTCAGCCAGAGCCGTGCTCCTGGGTTTGCGGACATTCGATACCCATCGCCCTGGAACTACGCGGATAAGAACAAGTACAGTTTTGACGAGAAATCGCCTGATCCCCGTTTCGTAGATAAGCTGGATGTGCTCTTCTGGCGCGGCACGACCACCGAAGGCATGACTTCGTATGGAACCTGGAAAGGTATGCTTCGTCAGCGACTCGTTCATCTACTGAACAACGAAACATCTCGTCAACCTATCCTCCTCCCGAAGCCGGATCACAGTGGCCGCCTGGAATATATGCTTAAGCGCACTGGGGATATCAAGAGGTATCTTGAGACCAAGACCGACGTCCGCCTTATTGGCCCAATTGCACGCTGCGCCGGTCAAGACTGCGATGACCAGTCGCGCGAGTTTGGATTCGGTGATCCTATTGAATTTAAGCAACACTGGCGCTATCGATATCTGTTCGACACCGACGGGGCCGGCTTCTCTAGTCGCTTCATTCCCTTCCTACAATCGAACTCGGTAATCTTCAAGGCCGCCCTCTTTCGCGAATGGTACGAAGGCCGTCTCACAGCCTGGAAGCACTTTGTCCCCGTTGATCTTCGCCTCCACGACCTCTTTTCCACCCTAGCCTACTTTGGCGGCTATGGTGTCGAGGAACGCAACAAGCGCATGATGGAGGGGAAGATCAAGGCTGCAGAGAAGATTGCAAGAGACGGCAAAGTGTGGACAGAAAAGGTGCTGAGGAAGGAGGACATGGAAATCTACATGTTCCGGCTTTTGCTCGAGTGGGGAAGACTTACCGACGATGCACGTACCGAGGTGTGTTTCCGAATGGAAAAGGGGAAGAGAGATGCCGAGGATAAGGTGGGCATTGTGGAGAGGAGCGAGGTCCAGGAGCTGTGACATGGTGGGAAGAAGCTGCAAGACGGTGCAAGTAGCATTTTCATGGCGTTATTTTGAGTAGATTTGCAATTTCCTAAATTTTGATTCTTCTTCTTCTTATATAATATTACCCTTGTACTTTTCTTTTCCTATTGTGTCGTTGTACTAGCGTGTATACTTATGCAGGGCATGTGTACTATTACAGTAGATCGACGAACTGCACTACACAACTACGCAGTCACAGTCACCTTGGTTCGGGCACATATATTTCAGCAGGGTAGACGAGAGAAGGAAAAAAAAGCAACAATCATCTATTGTCTTGCGATAATGAGTGAAAATTGGAAAACTACGTCATGAATATCATCTATACTCATTGCTCACATAACAAAGTTCATCCACGTGTCCGCCTCATGGCACGGAAGAAGCGACAAACGAAAAGAGAAAAGAGAAAAAAAAACGGAGAATTCGCATCTTTTCAACACAGCCAATCTATAAAATCATGATGCGTAAAAGAAAGAAAAAAAAAGTAAAAGAAAAAGACTAGACTAAACTAGACCTAAAATCAATATCTCACACCCCTCTTCTGACTGGGACTGTCAACCCAACTGCCCCTATACCCGCCCTCTTCATCGTCATCATAATCCTGATCCACATCCGCGAGATCAATGCCCGTAACACCATCTGGATCATCGTCATCGGCATACTCCTCATCGGCATCAGTGCTGTTTCTCCTGCCCTCGGGGCTCCAAACAGGGCTCGTAGCGATTCTCGGGCGAGACTTGAAGACATGGTCGTAATCGGTCTCGTCGCTGAACAGCTGGTCGGTGCCGTCTATATTTTCGTGGTCAAGGTGGTCTGTCGAGTCGCGGGGGTGGGGGGATTCCAATTGGTTTACGGGGTAGAGGCTTTGGCGGGAGGTGCTGCTTTTGCGTTGTGTGGGCTTCTTGGGCCGTGGGAGAGACTGTGTGGCGGTCATGCTGAGGCGGGTGCGTTCGAGGAGCGTGGCGTGGCGCGTTGTGGTATCATCGTCGCTGGCCGAGGGGAGGGGAGGCGGTGCCATTGTGGGGAGGGGATCGGGGGATTCGGCAACGGGAGAGAAGGATGTGCTGTGCGACATTGTCATGCGTGTTCGTTCTAGCAGGGACAGGGACATGCGTGGCTGGGGCTTTTTGACTGGAGACGGAGTTGCATTGCCGATGGAGTCAATGATTTGGTCGGCCATGGCTTCTTCGGCATCGAAGACGGGTGGTGCAAAGGTTAGGATTAGTGGTTTGGGTGGGGACTCTGGTGATCGTTTGGGTGAAGGCGAGGCTTTTTGTACGGTCAGAGTAACGGTAGGCTCAGGGCTATCGACATTGGACGTTCCGTTGGTACGAATTGAAGTAGGCGGCGTACGCTCTCGTGTTAGTCCATTTTCGTAACGAGTCTCTACTGGCGATGCCACGTGACCGGGTCTTGGTGGTGTGCTGCGACGTGTAGAAGACTGACCAATCAATGTCGCCTCGGAATCGATGGGAGTGGACCCTGCTGATACATGCTGTGGCGGCCGAGACAGGGTAGGCACTTTATGCAGGGAATTTGGTCTGGACAGATGTTTGGGTTTTGGAGGAACCACTGGGCTGGTTGGTGACCCTGGTAGCGAGTCTGATAGGGTCATTTTCCTCCTTGGAACAGGCGACTGGGTATCTTTTGCTGGAGATGTACGTCGTCGCGGCATGATGGTGGATATGGGACCTGTCTTGTTGGTTCCCGCACATGATAACTCGGTCTCCATATCAGATAAGATGTCACGGTACTCTGCTCGCAGTTCCGGACGTTTGATGGCCGCATCCTCCACCTTCTCCTTTGAAGACGGTAGCTGATATTGAGAGTGGGCGTCGAATTTGAGCTCCTGGATGGGCACGGCACTCTTCGCATTCGCTGGTTTCTCTGTACCCGCAGCATCGCTCTGCAGTTCATCATGAAAGGCTTTCCATTTCTGCAGTCGCTCTTGCTGCTCTCGCACCCTCGACTGTAGATTCTCTAGCAGCCCAGTCTCTGGTGCAACGTCTTCGAGTTTTCGATCATTCTCAACCATGTGCCAGACCTTGTCGAAGCGGCTGCTTAGGAACGCATCCTCTGCTTGGACACCATCGCCATGTAGCATGACATCGAGCCATTTTTGGTTGCCTATCCAGTTGTCCTTCAATTGCCTCTTGACCACATCCGCCTCCTTCTGTGTCACTGCGGGCTTCTTCGCCCGGGGGGTATCCTTGCACTTGCGTATCCGGCTGTTGATATCTTCGGCCTTTTTGTCCAATAGCCCCTCAAACTCCAAGTATTTTCTTCTTTTTTCTTCTTTCTTTTTCAGCACATTGAGTAGCGCCGCCTTGTGTGCAATGGCGAGAGGAAGCAATGATCGCTGTTGGTCGGGCGAGAGTATTGGGGCCGTTGCTAGCCTCCTTGCAACGGCAGCATCCCGAGCCCCGCCATCGCGTGCTGCAAGTACTTTTTTCAGGACGGCGTTGGAGAATATGGCCATAACCTCGTAGAATTTGTCCCCCTTGCACTCGTCTAGCATGGTCTTCCTAAGGACAGCCTCTCTTCCCAGGACGCCATTCTTCTTCAAGTCGTTGAGGCATCGGAACAGCGCAGCACGGAGGTTCAACGATTGGAGGGGCTCGAGAGGCGGAAAAAAGGGCTGGAGCTTCTGCAGTCGTGTTAGAGACGAAGGCTACGTGTACTGCACATTTGAAGATACCTGTGCTGTCTCGTTGGGATCCCATATCTCGAACAGACGGAACAAGGCCCACTCGGTCCCGGCAATCCGCTGACGCTGATCCGCATTCTTCGCCGAGAAAGTTTGCACGGTGATGTCTGGCCAGTCCTGCCGTTGGCCAAAGTCCAGCAGTCGGAGATTGGTCACGAAGAGCCTGATATCCGATGCCGGCATGGGGTTCAATTGTTGAGGTTTGACATTGTTTGTTTTGACTGACGTGGTGCGCACATGTCCGCTGGTCGTCGTGGTCGTCGTGGTCGTAGCGGTGGAAGAGGCCGAGTTAGAGCGAGACATGCTTGTGACCGCTGACAACACATCGACGCAACTGCTCTTGCAAAAGAGTCGTGGGGAGCGTGGCGCATGTGCATGCGTGGTGTTGCGGTGTGACAGCAGACCCCTGCTCTGTTTGCCAAGCCGGGTCCTACTTATCGATAGTCGCGTTCGCGCCGCCAGACCCTGGTTTGCTGTTTCCCATCCTTCTTTATCTTCTGCTTTCCCGCCACTCCAGACGTTCCTCACGCTTCACCCTTCGCCTGCGTATTTCACCAGCCGCTTCAAAGCCTCAGTCTTCCAATTTGGTAGGCTGCCACACCGACATCATGACCATGGACGGATCAACCCAGACCAATGGCGCAGAGCGCAATGCCGACAGACTCGAGCCAAAGGATGTGCAAAAGGAACAGTGGACAGTTGAGAGTGGTATGTCATGAACAACAAGCAATGGCTCGTCCGTATGCGAAACCCTCTTTCTACTTGTACCCTTATCCTCGTGCCTTACTGACACCTGCTCGCAGTCTTGGCCGATATCAAACCCCGCAATGCCGAACACACCGACTCGCCCGTTCCGTTCTTCCACCTCCTCGAGCGCCTCAAGACGACCAAGCGCGCAGGATGGCGCCGTTTTGGCATCTCTGACTGCGAATCGATTGCCGACCACATGTACCGCATGAGCATTCTCACCCTGATGGCGCCCTCGTCGCTCAGCTCCCAACTTGACATTCTCAAATGCTGTCGCATGGCTGTTATCCACGACATGGCTGAAGCGCTGGTCGGAGACATAACACCAGTAGATGACGTGACCAAGGAGGAGAAGAGCCGGCGAGAGACCGAAGCCATGGACTACATCTGCACGAACCTGTTGGGCCAGTTCAACGGAGGCTTGAATGGAAAAGATGTCCGCGAAATCTGGCAAGAGTACGAAGACAGCAAGACACCCGAGTCACTCTTCGTCCATGACATTGACAAGATTGAACTTTTGGTCCAGATGATAGAATATGAGCGAAAGTACGAATGCGAGAAGGATCTGGGCGAGTTCACATGGGTCGCAGGGCGCATCAAGAGCGACGAGGTCATGGCGTGGGCAAAGCAGATATTCCGCGAGAGGCAACAAATGTGGAAGGAAGCAGGCAAGACGCCGACATGGAGGGCAAACACCGAGCCTGAGGACTAGGCTCGCCGATCAAATGAATTCAAGATGGCCTTTGCACGAAGTTATGACCACGATGCATGTAGTAGAGTAGACAAACTATGGGGGTAGAATATTACTTCAATGGCACTGATAATTCATCTGCCACGTCCATACGCGGGTATCAAGACTAACATTACATCCTCCCAGCCCGTGCCTACTTACCTTACGGACTAGACAAACTAACCAATCTCCTTTTCTTTGCCTCCCTCGCCAGCGGTCCCCCGATCCCCGGCGACATGGCCAAATTCGCTCCCACAGCCGCTTCTCCTTCACCACCACTGCTAGCATACTCTCCACTTCCACTCAGCACCGCCTTCCACGCATCCGGCTTCACGTCTGACCTCGCATACTCGCCCCCTCTAATCTTGTCTCCACTCCTCCTCCCATGCCAGTAGCACAGCCCTTTGCCCACACCCACGTACTTTTCTTGCAAGGGGCACAAGGGGCTGTTCGGCAGATGTTCAGGAACCAGCCATTCGAACTTGCGGCGCTCTTCCTCTTCCTGTCTCGCCAGCGCCGCAACAGTGCGCGCGTCGCGGTGACGGGCGCCCCGCTCGTGGTTCACACGGTACCATCCGTCGTGGCCGAGCATAGGGTCGGAATTTGCAGCAAACGAGGGGCTCAGCGGGGGTTTGACGCCTAGGTAGCTGATGCTGCTTGTGCGATTGTTGGTGTGGTGTTGTTTGTCTGGGGCGAAGAAGCAGGAAGTGAGGCTGTTCATTGTGGCGCTGCTTTTGAGCGGCCCTTCAGGTCCTTCTTCTTCTTCGTCGTCATCATTATCGAGATTCACAAGGTCGGTGGAGAGACTCATGAGGAGTGCGTCCGAGTCCCAGTGCCCTTCGGAACTCGATGTTGGTCTGTTGCGTGAACTTCGCATGCCGCTGCTTTGGAAGTCGAAGAGGAAATCGGCGAGCTTGCCTTTGACTTCGCCGTTGGTGTCGAAGATGGGGGGCGTGGGGACACGATTGAGTCCCGGGGGAATGAATGCAGGGGGAGCCTGCATGTGTGATAGGGATGTGGATGCATGGTGGTCTGGTTTACCGCGACTAGCTGGGTGATGTGAAAGTGTCTTTTGTCTAGATTTTTCAAAGACAACCTGGTCGGCAAGGCGATTTGAGCGTTTAAAGGGATTGATGGATAGGCGCCTTACTCGAGATTCTGGTCTAGAAGGCGGAGGTGTGTCTTCACTAGACGCTGTGTTTCTCCATTTCCACCGAGAAGCTCGCGTCTTCTTTGTTTCCTGTGCCATTTGCTGTAATTGTACCTTGCTATGGGCCTGTGCTCCCTCATCCGGTACTTTCCAATTACCATCCGGCGTATGTGGTGCAGTCGAGTCACTTGCACTCGTATTGCTGTAGTTACTCCGTCCACTGTGCGATCTTCCTGTGCGTTGATGACTCATATAACGCCGTTCTCTCACTTTTAGAGGTGGGAGTTCAAGCGTTGGTGACTGTGAGGAGAACATTGCGTCGTTACCAGGCAAGAGACCGCGACCACCATGATTGTCGCTGTTCAGTATTGACATGCTATCCCCAATATAGTCTTCTTCTTTGATGGGCGTGGACTTGACCAGCCAGTCCTGCGCCCGCTTTGGCTGATCGCTGCGAATCCATGGTGTTTTGGGACTTCGTGCGCGAGGAGCCCCAATATTGCCCGCCACATCGACTGGATAGCGACCACGAGCGGGCAAATCTGGCATGTTATCCGGCATTGTCAGACCAAGTTGTACATTCCGACGGGCTCGAAGTCCGCTATTCGTTGCCGGTGACTGCGGGTTCGATGGTGGGGTGGATGTCTCGACAGCTATCGATGGTTCATCAATCACGACAGCTGGCTTTGGTAACTTCTCATGACTGTTGCTCGGTTTGGGCGACGGTGGTGGTGCAAAAGACTGCACACGATCTTTCTTCTGTAGCCTCAAGATGGAATCGTCTTTGGAATCTCGTCTCTGCTGAACTAGCTTGTTCTCTGGCAGATGTAGCACTCTGAGATCCGGTACATGCCTTGCGATGCCCTTTGCAAAAGCGATAATGGAAGACCTCCGATTGTCGTAAGGATGGTAATCGCTCGCGTTCGAAGAGAAAGAGTCGGCTATGCGCATGGCTGTCGACACGCGCGACTCGGTGCTGTCAACATGGCGAAGTTTGTGATTCTGGATATCGTCGGCATCGTCAATTACAGTGGATCGTCTGATGATCTCGTCTAGTGGTGGAGGCGATCTCTGTCGCCCGTACTCCACAGTCATGGGGTGACGGCTTTGCCTTTGGTCTCCAGGCTCCGGTTGTTGCCCCCAGCTGAAGCCTTCACGCCTGTTGACATGCCTTGGGGTAACAGCCTCGTCTTTTCCTGACACGTCGGTTTCAAAAATCTGATCGGCATGCTCTTGGAGCGTTGTGTAATGCCTGATTGGACCCTTTCGAGAGCTCGGGGGCGGTTGGTCTTCGGCGTCGGGGGTAGGTGATGCACTATGGTCGGAGTTGTCAGAAGCAGAACCGGAGCCTGCCGCGATGATATCGGTTGCGTAGGTCGAAGGTTGAGGCGCCGATAGCATTGGCGAGGTGGCAATGAATGCCTGTAGTGGGGGGAAGGGGTGGCGAGTCAGTGCAAGGTTAGGTGTGCATCAAGGGAGAATAATAACAGGCCACGGCCTCGAGTGTATCAATAGGCGTATTGCGAAAGAGAGTGCGAGCTAGATAGGCGGCGCTCGATAATAGGATACACGGTCCTATTATGGCCATGGATGCCCAGTAAACCTGTATCTTGGAGCCCCAAATCGGGAAGGAGAAACAGACGACAAGAGATCTTGACAAGGGAGCAGCCACTCATGCCTCGGATGCGCATACCCAACTGCCCAACCCGGACATTAGTGCCATGTACTAGACTCCACCAACACCATTCCTATGCACTCGTATACAAACAATTATCCAAACAAGTAACTCAGACCATGCACACCGGGTATCAAGCCATGCCTTAATAACACATGATGCTGCAGCCTTATCCCGAAGACCCAGCCGTCGCCTGTACCACACTAGTGCCGTCCACGAAGCGTGTGCGGAAGATGCGATTTGCATTCTGGAACATGCCGTCCTTCAAACTGACGACAATAAATTGCGATCCCTTGAACCTGGTCTTGAAGAGACGGCCAATGTTCTGTGTGTGCGACAGATCAAGCGCGGCATCAACTTCGTCCAGGATGTACATGGGCGCAGGCTTGAACTGAAGAAGAGCCATAATGAGCGAGAGTGCAATGAGAGATCTAGTCATTGTTAGTGAGTTTCAGATGGGCGCAACAAGCCGGTGCATACCTTTGGCCACCACTCAGCTCAGTCAGAGACTGCTTCCACACCTTACCAAGCATAACCTTGACCTCCAAGCCATCAGATATCGTTTTGCCTTCGGGAGGATCGAGCTTTGCGAAACTGCCAGGTAGAAGCTCGTTGAAGATTTGCCCAAAGTCGCGATTGACAATTGTCCATGTCTTGTGTAGCGCCTCCTTCTTGTATTCGTCAAGCTTGAGGATGGTCTCTTCAATCTTTGACTTGTCTCGGACAACCGTCGACATGTTCTTCTTGAGACTGGCTTCCTTCTTCTCGACGCTGTCGATCATGGCCATGACCTTGGGGTTGATCTTGTTCTTCTTCTGCTGGAAACGCTCTTCCAATGACTTGCGCCTAGTCTTCGCGTCCGCCATATTCACACCCTTGAAGTCGTATGGCGTACCGGGTCGACCAAAAAGTTCCGAGTCATTAGCAATGAACTCGTACTCCTTCTCAAGCGCTTTCACGTGACCCGCCGCGCCTTCCTGCTCCTTGTGGAATCTTTCAATCTCGTGACCAAGCTTCTGCTGTTCCAGCCCGCCTTCTGTTATCGACGAGTTCTTCGAGCGGATCGCGTCCTCAAGCGACCGGAGCTCCTCGTCGAAACCAGTCAACTTGGCTTGCTCGTCACTCAATCGGGCTACAGCTATATCGTGCGCATCCTAATACGGTTAGTATCACTTGCGATGGGAAGCCGGAAATATTACCTTGACACGAGACTGTTCAGCCAACAATTCATCGAGCTCTTCTTGTTGCGACTTGAGGTTGGTCTGGACTTCTTCAAGCTGCTCCTGGGCGGCTGCAAGATCGCTTCCACATTGCTCCGAGTCGACCATCGCTTCGCGCATCTGGGTTTGGAGAGGCTTGATCGAGGCATTGTTCTTTACCAGAGCCTTCTTGAGCTTCTCCAACGAAGATTGTAGTTCCGCAAGCTTGCTATCTTTGTTGTTGCTAAACTCGCTCATGTCGCGCTCAATGCGCTTGGCGTCCTTGTTGGCCTCGTCTTGCCTGGCTTTGGCCGCCTTGATATCTTCTTTGAGCTGAGCAATAGTCTGTTTCATCTCTTCAACAGCTTGTATGATCTATGATATGGTTAGTAGAATGGTCAAATCAAGGTCTCACGGGCAACATACCGATGAAGAGGCATTGCTGCCAATCTGTTCCTCAGTAAGCTTGATCTCGTGCCTTTTCAGGTCGAGCTCCTGCTTGGATTTGCGCGCCGCATCCAGCTTCTTCTTCTCCTTCGCCATGGTGGCTTGCAAAGACTGAAGCTGAGCCTCTTGTGAGCTCAGCTCTGTCGTAATCTCGTTGAGCTTTTGTAGAGTGATAAGGACTCCGCTAGACTGAGGCGCGCTACCACCAGACAGCACACCAGCAGGATCGTACGTGTCACCTTGAAGTGTAACGCTCTTCATGCGCACCGCAGGATCGAATGTTACGCGCTTAGCAGTTTCTGCGTCCTCGCAAACAAGGGTGGAACCAAACACATACTCCATTGCGGCGTTGACCTCATGTTCGTATCCGATCAACGATAATGCTAGGTCAACTTTACCTGGCGCAATCTTCTGGGCTGCTCCAATCTTCTCTGCCGATGCTTTAAAGGCAGCAATCTTGTTGAGGGGAATGATTGTAACCCGCTTCTTGAGCCTGCCATTCTCGAGGAGCTGTTTACCAGTTGCGGCAGAGTCAACAACAACGTTGTACAATCGGCCTCCAGCGCAAATTTCGAGAGCAGTGCCTGCCCGGGTATGCTCCTTCTCAAGTGTGAAGAGTTGAGCAACGAGACCCTTGACACGAGACCTGTCAAAGTTCGGGGAGGGATCACTGTAGCTGAAATCAATATTGGCAACTTGTCGCCTCATTGCGTCCGCTTGCTGTCTAAGTTCCCGTATGCGCGCCTGGAGATGTGACTCTTGTTGGTACATGCTAGCTTCTTGAGTCTCATCGTAGCCTAGCTTCGCCAGATCTGCCTCGAGCTTCGCGGCCTGGGATTTCAGGGCTTCAAGATCTTTGAGTAAACCGGAGTTTTGCTCCTTGGCTTTCTTGGCTTTTGGCTCATCTTCTTTGATCTGTTTCTCCAGATGCGATATCCTCAGCTTGCTTTGCTCCTGCTCTGTAGCAGCTGCGCTCGCCCTATTTCTGGCCTCCTGTAGTTGCCCTTGGTAACCGCCCTCCTGACCCTCCTTCGACGCTACACCAGTCTGCAGCGTCTGAAGCAACTCCTCTTTCTTCTCAACCTCTTCTGTCTGCTTTGCTAGCTCAGCATGGGCCGTTTGGTATTTTTCCTGTGCCTTTTCATAAATCTGCTTCTTCTCTTGTAGCAGTTTCTCTAGCTCTTTCACACTCTTCCGAACGCTCTTCTCATGCTCAACCTCTTCGGCCATGCTAGTCTTCTTGAGCTCCAGGTTTGTAGTCAGGCGGACAATCTCGTGAGAATGTGCCTTGACCTCTTCTTCGAGCGCTTGGAACTTTCCACCTTTACGGAGTTCCTTCTCCCGTGTTGCCTTTGTTTGCTTGATGTCTTCTTGCAGATGTTCAATTTCCTTCTTCATACGCACGGTTGACTCTTCAAGGTCCTTTGCCCGTTGCTTCTTCGCCTCAAGGTCTTCTGCTGACTGTTGTAATCTCTCGTTGTACCGTATATAGTCGTGTGCCACGACAAGTTTTGTGAGGCGCTCGAGCTCGCTCTGCGTTTGCTGAAATTCCAAAAAGGCTCGCTTTTCTGTTCGTAGCTTCTCAAGCTTTGGGTCGATTTCGTCTCGTAGCAACTCAGTAATCTCCTGTACCTTCATCTCCTTCTTTGCCATAGTCTTGTAGGCCTTATCTCGCCTGTCCTCGAACATTCGCGTTCCTGCAGCCTCCTCGAGCATGGCCAGGATTTCCTTGGCCTTCATGTTTAGCACCTGCATGACCTTTCCTTGTGCAATCATGAAGTTGGGGTTGTTGATGTTGAGCTGCACAGACTGGAACAAGTTCTGTATACTCTGTTGCTGTGCGCGGTGTCCATTGATGAGGTATTTGCTGGCTCCGCCGAGCACAATCTGGCGGGTCACGGATATCTGCGCATGTTCCTCGAAGCCAACGGGGCTCTTGGTTTTGTCGCTGTTGTCAAACACAATGGTGACGCTCGCCTTGGTAACTCCGGCCTGCCCGCGCTTGTAGATGAGGTCCTGAGGCCTTATTAGCACCCTCTGCATGCTCTGCTGCCTGTTCCACCCACCTGCAAGTTCTGCGCTCGCACAACGCTCAGATTATTGATACCGAGCACGAAGCATATTGAGTCCAGGATATTGGACTTTCCGGATCCGTTGAGTCCCGTAATTGAGTTGAAACTCTCGTCCCTGCGTACAGTGAGCGGTGTAGTCTTGTCTGAGCGGGGTGTAAACACACCAGCCGGAGATGACTGTGCGGACGGCGTACGACTTGTAGCCCTGATATCATGTTAGATTTAATCGCAGGCCTCAGCGGCTGACACTGACGTCGATAACCAGCTCTATGATCCTCATGGTGGCTGCATGTGCTGGTGTTAGTTGCCCGGTGTTTGTTGTGTTTCGCGTGTAAACGGCGCTCGAACCGGGGATGTCCCAAATGAGTTAGCTCTAGACATCTCGCGCTAGCCCCGCTGTCACGTGGCAGCGCGAAATAGCACGCGTTCACTCAGACGGTGCTGGAGACGGGCACAGTCTGCCACGACATGATGACACGACACATACTTTTTACGTTGTTTCACAGCCGTCAATGTCATGGATTGTTCATATATGCCAAGGAAATACGGGCGGAAGTTTCCGCCATGGACAGAACGCTATCATCGCTAATCAACAGAAATCTTACACACTATGCAACTATGCAGCTCGTCCCAGAATGTAATCCGGCTCAGCCTCGACTGGTTCACTTGTTTCAGTGCACGCAGTCTTGGAACAACTCTTTCTGCTTGGTGGTCTCTCTTCCAGTTCTTTCGACTGGGCAGTCGCTTCAGCTTTCCATTCGAAAGCGCTTGCGTCCTTGTCCTCCTGTGACAGTGGAAGCGTCCTAGGAGCACCTCCCAGTTCAACATCGATGGTTTCATCTCTGTCGTCGGACGACCCCTTTTTCAACTTGCCCATCATCTTGGGGCCATATGACCCCAGCTTGCTTGGACGACGGCCACTGCCTGTTCCTTCGTGGTAGTACGAAGCCTTGCGGTCCGTGCCGTACTGCGGGAACCAATAACGGAAGAGACACTTTGTTGCGGGCGCACAGGCTGTCATGATGTGCACGGCAGGCTCCGCGATACTAATGGCGATTCCAATATCCCATGTGCGGTCTTTGTTGGAGGGCGCAAAGCGGTAATAATACACAATGAAGCGTCCGACCGACACGCCTGTCGCAATCCATCCTAAGCTCATGACTGCCACCACGAGGACCTTTGTGCGCCGGTGCATCTGGAGATTCCACACCATGATGGACGGGATTGGAATAATCATGAGATCCATCAAGATTGAAAGACCGCAAGACACCAATATAAATGTGCGCGCTTCAATGCATTTGCCGCCTGGTATGAGATTGCCGTTGGCGTCAATCTTGTCCATGGCAGGCCTAGACCAGGCATAGGCATGAGGAGTACATTGTACCAAATTAACGATGGTCGATCCAACGGAATAGCAGATGTTGAGCCAGGTGACGGTGTATAACAGGAATCGTATGCGACGGCGACCATCCTTCATTCGGAAGAGAAACATGATGATCGATGCTCTGATCAGCCCCATTACTACGGCTATGTCAGCAAAAATCCTGCGACCACCGACGTGGACATATACATACGAGGGTGATAGATCATCTGCACTGTAAAGTTCCAGTGTAACGCGACGAGTTGCTCATGAATCGACTTCTTTGGCACGTCATATACATGATAGCCTGTACCACTCAGAATAACGTACATCCATGTTGCGGTGGTGTCCAATATGAAGAGGACAGCGGCAATGAGAATGAGATAGTCGTCCCAAGCAAAGTTTCGTCCCAGGTAGCGCGACCATACTCTGAGGAAGACGGTCAAGCAAGCAACGACCGCAAACGAACAGATGATCGCAAGCGCCTCAGGCTGTCGACTCTCGACCATCCTGGCAATGGTCCCGTCGCCCGTGGCGAACGATAAAAAAGGTTCCTGGGGTCAAAACTGCTCGGCAGCCGGCAAGGTATGCGGTACCTCCCGGCTCAGTGATGGAGAAGATCGTGGGTCCAGGACGAAATGTCGCAAATGAGAGGTGAGTGCGGAATAGGTGCGCAGGCGGACAAAATTCTCGAGTGATGGACCAGGAGAAAGAAAAGCTGGGGATCCACCTGGGAAGAACCAATGTTCTTTCAGCGCCCGTGGTGCAATATGATGGCGCGATGCTTGGGTCGCTCAGCGCACGCGAAGAGCCGCACCGCCAATGTCTTAAGAATAGAGATAAGCGGGATGCGGTGATGTACACCTCGCCGACGACGTGAGAAACCAAAACGACCAGCCGCTGCTCTAGACTTGGATTCGGCATGCAAGCCCGTTCGGACACCTGAGACATTGGTCAAGACTAAGACTGCCCATGCACGAGATCCCCGGGGAAGCAGTCGATCCTTCCGACTGTTCACCATGATACCGCCATACTTCAACAAGAACTAGGGTGTCGCATCACGCTGGGAACGGGTCATATCGGTCCGAATTCGGGCAGACATGTTCAGTGGCGCTCTGAGCTTTGGTTCTGGCTAATGGAGCGTGGCCTCGAGCTGTACCTTTAACAGTCAGGTATGAGTACTAGGCGCAAAACTGCCGGGCACGGCAACACAACCACGAGTCAAGGGCTCGCTATGCCTGCAACCATGGAGAGGATTGGTGTCGATCGCTTGACCTAACAGCTAGTATATTGCCCAAGACGCGGCATTGTCAACACGCCACTGCCACTCGACTGTCAGAGTTGTAGTATCACTGGCGCGGAGGTTTAATACCACTTGGGGAGGACGGGAGCGGGGGGTGATAGTCGGCGAATCAGTGAGCAAAGGAGATGCGAAAGAGGCGGTCTTTTTTGGCTGAGTTCGTCGATCCTGACTCTATGCAGTCTGGCTAGTTGCGCACCACCACACGCTATGCCATCAACGCAATGCGACACGCCCCACATGGTGGGAAAATACACACAGCGCCCCAGTCTTAGCATGGTACCTGAATTGCACGTGGCCTTAGGCCTCTGCCGCTTCCCGCCTCTGTCCATGTAAACTTTGTCTAAGGGGCTGGCGGAGGAGCACGACGACAGTCTCCACGGAGAAGGAGCTTGTGAGAAACATGCCGTGTGCCACGTCCTTGCATGCAATATCGTTGCTGCAGGTTTGGATAGGTTGCTCGCTGATGATCAATACGAGCCCATGTCGTGAATCCCGGTTACCTCAGCTGTCAACGCTTCGAAGAGAGCAAGATCAGCAGTCGCATCCAGCCTGATGGCATTAGCCCATGCTCTGCCAAGGGCGGCACATTGAGCGCTCGCCTCCTATGTACATTGAGTCAGGGAGCGAGATGAACAAAATGCCCGCCCTTTTGATTCTCGCCTTGCCGCGTAACGGTCCGCAGCTCGCCAACTCCCGGAAGCACCAGGGTAAAGGCAAGTGATGATAGCGGACGATGAGACAAGAAACTTTCTAACGAGCATCCAGATCTGCACCCGCGCGATCGTTGACGATCTTGCGCCAATAATTGCCCATTCGGTCTTATACTGAGACCCTGAAGCAAGTTGCGCAATAAAGTTTCTAAACATGGCATCTGTAGCTCTATGGCTCACGGCTTTTGCCGCAGTAACAGCGGCTTCTCCTCTGTCAGCGAGAGACAAGTCCACCATCTTCAACGCAGAAGTTGACCTTCAGCGTGTCTCTCCTGCAGTCAAATCGCTCTTCCTCCCTGGCTCTTCTGGCATTGCTTCACCGAAAAACTCGACTTCGAGATGCAAGGTTTACCCCGGAGACCCTGAGTGGCCCTCTGACGAGGCCTGGTCTGAATTGAACAAGCTCACTGGCGGCCACGTTCTCAGTGCACCTACTCCCCGAGCTGCAGTATGCTATCCTGGCGACGATTACAACGCCACACAATGCTCGGAATATACTGTTGCAGAATGGCAGAAGTCGTACCTCCACATGGTTGATCCCATCGAAATGATGTCGCCAGTAGCCCAAGGCATGACCTGTACTCCTCCAGTCCTTTTCGATTCTCACGGCTGCACTCGTGGGGGCTTCCCCATGTACGTCGTCAACGCGACCGAACCGAAGCATGTTCAGCTTGCTGTGAACTTTGCGAGGAACACGGGTGTTCGTCTCATCGTCAAGAATACTGGCCATGACTTCCTCGGAAAGAGTGGCGGCAAAGACGCCCTCAGCATCTGGACACACAACATGAAGAATATCGAATACATTGAGGAGTATGTTGATGCGAAGCTCAACTACTCTGGCCCTGCTTTCAAGAGCGGTTCGGGTGTCCAGGCCTTTGAGATCTACAAGGCTGCTTCCGAGAAGGGCAGGGTCGTGGTGGGTGGAGAAGGCGAGACAGTCGGAGTAATGGGAGGCTACATCCAAGGAGGAGGACACTCGCCTCTAACTCCACTCTATGGCACCGCCGCTGACAGTGTTCTCTCCATGGAGGTCGTCAGGGCTGATGGCGAGTTTGTCGTGGCCAACTCTACATCCAACACTGACCTCTTCTGGGCCCTCCGCGGTGGAGGTGGCAGCACATTTGGTGTCGTCACCTCTGTCACCGTGAAAGCGCATCCCGACCTTGAAGTCACAGCATCGCGCTTTGGCTTCAACTCCAAAGACACTGGCACAGAGAAATTCTGGGCAGCCATCCGCGCCTACGTTGACTCCTGGATCGCCAATGCCGATGCAAGCACCTACACTTATTGGACCTTGATCCCCTCCAACGGCACCTTTTCATTTGCCTTCTCTCCCTTTTTCGCTCCCGGCAAGTCCAAGGCCGAAGCCACTGCTCTCCTCCAGCCGTGGTTCAACAAGCTCGACGACCTCGACATCAAGTACGACCCCAACATTACGCACTTTGACAATTTCTACTCCGCCTGGCGTTCTTCCTTTCCCCTCGAGGCGGTTCAGAAGCCCAACGTCGCAACCGCATCGCGCCTCTTCCCCCGCGCCAACTTCGAAACAGCGGAAAAGCGGCAACAAGTCTACGAACACATCCGCCGCTCGAGCGAGAACAACCGTGTGCAAGTCCACTTCAACATGCAAGCCAAGGACCCATACAACACGGACAGCGCCGTTAATTCGCATTGGCGCCCTCTAGTCTCATTCAGTATGCAGTCTGTGCGCTGGCCTCTGAACAGTACTGCCGAGGAGATTTTGAAAATCAGAAAGGACTTTCAGGCGGGCGACATGCAGACTTGGAGGGACATTAGCCCTGGCGCGGGATCCTACCTTGCGGAAGCTGACCGCCTCGAGCCCAACTTTGGTGATGCCTTCTTCGGTGACAAGTACCCTCGTCTGCTGGAACTGAAGAAGAAGCTCGATCCCCAGGATGTCTTTTTTGCTACCACTGGCGTGGGCAGCGAGAGATGGAGGGTTGAGAGCGTCGATGGACTGCCAAATGAGAACGGCAAGTTGTGTCGTATGGAGTAGAGTCGTCGGTGAACTGTCATGCCAGTCCAAGCATGGATTCTTGTATCTTCTTGTCTATAGCTACCGTGTTGTACATACATGCTGGTATTCATACATACTTGTCTCTCTGAGACCAACAATCACACATTCGTTAAATTACGCAGACATGGTGTCAGGAACGGTTTTCCATTTTTCGATATTTGTTTTACGAGTGATTTCGACGTGCTTACGCAGCAGCGGGCTTTTATAACGCAGTAGAGTACACAACGTAGAATAGCGGTGAGGTACCACGCCCTTTACCTTTAACACAATCAGTACGCAGTAATATAACACAATTGATGCATTCTTCGTTATAACTATGGACTTCCGCATAACATTCAATATTTTTCATGCAACACCTGCTAGACTCACGTACTCAATGTGTTGAACAAACCCTTACTACACGGCTGTCTCAGCCCTCTCCTTAAGCTCCACCGCATACCCTTCTTGTTGTTCCTCACAATACGAACAGCCAAGGTGTACCTCCACCCCCCCTTCCCCACCCACCCCACCTCCCAAGTGACCAACCCCCCCTCCATGCTAATCACATTGAGTCCTAGCCGGCGGCCTCACGCACGTGTTGGTTCTGCACCTCGGCAACTCAGCCAGCCACCCGCCCCGCCTCTCGAAACACACAGATACCCACACATGAAGCACGCAATCCCACCCTTTTGTGGGCTTCAATCGTAGTAATTTAACTCGACCGATAAGAGATCACATGGCGACAAGATGCGTGGGCCAAGCGCATCACTTGCATATTCAGCTGCGGCTCCAACTCCACTGTATTTACGTTCTAGACGCCGTTTTCTTCTTGCATCTACGTTGGAATCCTACGGACCCCGTTGATAAAACTTGCTATGGCTTTGCCCTCATGAGGTATAGCTCCTTGGCGGAGGATTTGTACTTTGGTCATTGTATCAAACTTGTTTTGACATCCACTTTGTTGTCGCCTGTTTTGCGTCGTGTGTTGCGCGGCGACAACAGCAGAAGCGTGCTGTCATTTCACTTTATCCACTTCTATGAACAATCTCAGCATGCTAATGCAACGGATTTAATTTGTTTTTATGAGTGTTGTCGACGTGGTAATGCAGCGATCTTATACCGCAGTAAGATAGACAATAGAAAGCAGCAGTGAAGGCCATACGCTGTACCTTGTACACAATAAGCAGGCAGTTTTCGACACAACAAACCTTTACAGAGAGCAACAGCCATTGGTAAACACGAGAACCCATTCAAAAGATGGACTTGCCTTAGTAATTTGAGGCAGTGACCTACCCTCATACCATTATTTCACATCCATCTATCTCACATAACCACAATGCTGATCGCAGCACAACAGAAAAACAGGCAACAGGCTTTGACTCACGATGCGTAGGCATGCAGAGTGCTGAAAGAGCTGCGAGAAATAAAGCGTGTATCTCTACCATGGGCCGGTTGATGTCTATTTCTCTGTCTGCGATAACTATCTGATATATGTATCTAAACAGAGAACCATCATATGAGCCATATTACATAGCACAATATCCATATCACCGTTTCATTGCGGAACCTGGGTAAGTGGGAAACAAATAATACATACGTGTATTGAGCTGTTTTGGTACAGAATTACATGTATTCTAACAAGAACTGACCTGAAATTTGAGAGTGAGACATACAAAAATGTACAGTTGTAAAGATACCAATAGGCGATTTGATAAGGCACATGGCTGCAGCGCTGGAGCTAGAAGTTACTTCAACGCTTACGCACTGGGGTTTCTTCTTGCATTGCCATGTGCTGGGGTTGGGCGGAGAGCAGATACGTCAGGATTGTCGGGCATATGCTGAACTCGGAGTCAGGACCAAGACAAGCTTTTTTTCAAAAAGATAGAAAAAAAACTGTCTCAATCAGCGTAGCGTGTATCTTCTGTTCTGCACCACAAGCTAACCTATCTCTCCTCACTTAGCATCACGCGTAAGCATCGGACTCGATATCACTATACTTGACGTGATAAGCACAAACGAGTGGGGAGATTTATGCAGTAGTGGCTAAGCATTCTATTACTTTTTATTTCACAAAGTCCATAGCTAAACTTTGCATATTCTAGGTATTCATATCATGTTGATGCGGAAATACGTCGCCGTCGTTACTTGTTTACAATTCATCCTTCTCGTTAACGTCGTCTCTTGCAATGCTCTTGGCCTCAAAGTTATCCCCCTCCTTTGCAACCCGTCTCAGGCGGAAGACGCGCGCAGCGTGACTCTTGACGTTGGCTTTGAGCACACCGCCAGCTTTGACGACGCCAATCTTTTCGCCAAAGAGACGCGGGTCTTCCTGAGCAAGACCAGTGGCATAGGGCGTTTCGGTAGCATTGTACCAATTGGCTTTTGTCAGTACGGATTGTTTTGCCGCCGTTGTCTTTGCTGAAAGTATCTCTTGTGCAGTCGCTTCAGACATGCGATGCGCCCAGAGATCGTGGATGTTCCAGTCGTACTTGACGTGCGGTGCTGATCCGCCCGGTCCATAGGGAATGAAGATTTCGGCGAGTGGGACACTCATTTCCATGTCCTTTCCACCGGCATTCAGAAGGATTACAACTTCGTCGCCGTTGTGAAGATGACCTGCCCATACGTGCGTCTCACCAACACCCCACTCGTCTTTTGCGACGCCCTCTGTGTCCCGACGCACACGCGTAACGCTTCTTCCGTGAGGATCCTGGCTCAGTGCAATAATGGCGGGGTTGTTGATAATAGTAAATGCAGAAGCTGGCATGTCGCGCAAGTCATTGCCTAGGAACAATGGAGACTTGAGTGCCGCCCAAAGCGCAAAGTGGGCCTTGTACTCTTCGTCCGTCATTCCTCCCTGTCCGACTTCGAGCATGTCGAGATCGCTCCAGCCACCAGGAATACTGCGGTCGGCAAATGGCGCCACTTTGTTGAGGATAAAGAGCACAGAACAGTGTGTACCAGGTGCTACGCAATTTACGTCGCCTGGTGCCACGGTATTACAGCCACAGAGGTCATCTGGGCGGGTGAATGAATCATAGATGTCACCCGTCATGCGCCAAGAGTTCGAAATGGACATTCCCCACTATTGTACGTATTAGCCAGCGACCACGCGACTGTTTGGTATGCAGGAATAAATGCCTTACTGTGTGAACAAGGTCCTCGCCCCAGTTGCAAAGGTTGAGTAGAATGTTTTTCCCCGTTGCTTTTAGCGCATCTGACATGGTCTTGAAACGATTGAATGATATGGATGGCGTGCCAACTCGACCCATATGGTAGCAACTATCATACTTCAACATATCAACTCCCCATCCAGCGAAGCTCTTTGCGTCGTCAACTTCGTGATCAAGAGACCCCGCTACTTGATATTAGCTTGTTTATTAGGATGAACAATCAAGATCTTACCGTATCTAGCGCAGGTCATTTCACCTGCACTGCTGTACATTCCAAACCTGAGGTTCTGGGAGTGCAGGTGGTCGGAAATCGAGTTTAATCCGTTGGGAAATTTATCCAATGCTGGTTGGAGTTTTCCATTCTTGTCTCGGCCTTTAGGGTCTTGCCAGCAGTCATCTAGGACGACGTAGTTGTATCCCAGGTCTCGCAGACCCAAGTCGACAATCTGTGCCGAGGTCGTGAGAAGCAGGTTCTCGGAGACGTCGCAACCAAACGCGTTCCAGTTGTTCTTCCGAAATCAGCTAGCGAATAGATGTTGGAGATGAAGAAATTACCCAGCCCATTGGCGGTGTGATGGCAAGGCCATTGTTGATGGCATTTGCGACATTGAACAATGCCGTTACGGTAATGATGCTGCTATGTGGTGGTGGCATGTTGATGAACTGACGTGGTTTCTTTAATGAAACACACCAAGTCTGTACTTTGAGCAGACTTAAATGTCTCTACTTGCCCTGGTTGAATGTAAAATAGATGGATGGGTCTCTGTACTAGATCCCTGAAGTTGAGTTTCGGTTGTGGGGTTCTCCACACGTGGAAAACTGGGCGACTTTTCCGCCGCTACAGTAGTGTTGAGCAAGGATGCGTTTCCCAACTACTCGTGTCGCCTTAAAGCCGATGGTTGACACCGCTCAAATCCACGTGAGAATCACACTAGAATGCATCATGTGTTCCAATCTTCTATGTTACTATAGGGATAGACCCGAATAGCATGAAAGCGGCGACTGCTTACTTAATGCCAGCAGCGCCTCGTATTCAGGGTCGTGGTCTCTCGGTTCAAGCTCCATGTGGGGGGCGAATTGGACCAAGAAGCGCAGCAACCATCGATCTAATACAAAGCTAGTCTCTTTGCTTCGAAGACAGGTTTGATGGAACGCTCGGAGACGACTCATAGCGCCATCTACACTGGGCCAATATGTGCGCAACCGCAACAAAATTTCAAAGTTCCGCTCCAGTCTAGCTTTCGAAATCCGTATCTGTCCTTCGTCGCCGGAAAAAAGGAGCGTGTGAATCTGAACAGTAGATGCGATGACGAGAACGTGCGAGACTGCTGGATACATGACTTCATTACCAGGTGTTGAATGGGAGCGATAAACGAGCGAGCAGAGCCGTGCAGCATGCTGCTTGCAAGTGTCGGCGTATCGCCCAGCCTCGACGGGTGATTCAATCGACGATGACAGAAATTGGTAGTTTAGGAGCTGGCCAAAGTGGTAGTATCCTAGATATACAGCTGCAAACATGCGGCCATGGCCCCGCGATGCAAAGTAGTTGAAGTTTTCTGGTGTGTCGCGCATATGCGGCGGCAAGTCTTGGAGCCAGACGTCCAAGTCGCGTGACAGCTCGCGCATGCCTTTTTCTAGAGGCAGGCCTTCAAGGTGTTCTGATACACATGTGTTGTTAAAGTCGATGATCCTGGCCAGGATTCTATTGAGCTTCACCATCTCAGCCAGCAGTGGAGAAGACATGGAGGATGATGCCTGTTCAACGAAACCATACTCTGAATCCGTGCCCATGGAACCGAAAGGGACTTCGTCAACTGGGAGAGGTACGGCACTATGAAATGGCATGATGCGCGGCAATCGGACTGCGGTTGATGACCAAACATCAATCATGCAGATGGTCCACCATATCCTGATATTCAATTCACGCTCCACCAGGCTCGCTACGGGACGGTTTGGTAAGTCAAGGGCAAGGCACATGCGTCCAGCCATGCTGTAAAAGATGTTCTCGACATCGGTCTGGCCACTGGCGGCAGCGTATGCGCCTAATAGAATGCACACTTGGACCGTGGTGGGGTGCACATGACGGATGTTCAGCAGTTCCTCGCTTCGTACCCGGTAAGGTTCACCCCGTTCCCCCGGGTCAGTCGCATCGAATGCTTGGCTAGTGGAGAACCTTGCAGACAGGGCGAAGATGGCAAAGAGTACAATGGCCGGCACTCGGTCGTTCATGACATGGTCGACGAAAGACGCCCGGTGGTACATGGAATGGAACTGGTCGTGAATGTAGTCGAAATATAAGTCGACCAGTTCGCGCCTGAGTGGAATGGGCGGCAGCTCTTGAGCACTGGAACTCGATGATGAGACAGCCTGGCTGGGAGCAGGTTGTGGGGATGTCTTGGTTGATTCGAGTCTAGCTTTCCGCCGTGCATAATACCCGCCTTCTGGTGGACCTTGGAGGCATTTTAGGCCATGTAACGAGCAATACTCGCAGGCGGCACCCTCTTGGTGTGCGTGTAGGTAGATGCATTTGCGACGACGCGCTCTTGGGCCCAGTCAGGATGTGCGTGCCATGCTCGCCGCGGGTGGAAGGCTTACCGGCAGACTGTACAGGCAGAGGGCTTGCGCATGGCAGCTTAGAAGCATCCGGGGCATGTTGGGCGGGAAAGTGGCGGAAAAGCTGATGGAGGTGAAGAAGACGGCGGCGGGGCATGACTCGCGCCAACCACGGAGGGAATACGCTTTTCCTGAACAGGAAATGGGTCCGCCTGCCGCACGAGCCTCGGCTCCGCTAGCGGCGGAATATGGGCGGAAAAGGCTCGTCTTCTCTGGCGGCCGACTGGGCAAACCTCCCCCATCCTCGCCATTGGACAAGATGCACACTGGAGCGCTCCATCCTGTCCCCATGGGCACCGTCTATCACCGTCTATCACCGTCTCCGCCATGTGCTTCCCCGCAAATCGATCAGGCCTTGCCCTTTCCCGGCTACCACCAAGCATCTCGGCTACCCAGGTCCTCGGGCTAGCCCTTCACTCGTGGTATGACACTTGCCTGTTTTTCGGATGCATTACACCTGAAGCCACACCGTCGGTCGGTCTATATATGCCTCGGCCCCATGTGTGTCTTGTCTCTGCAGTCTCTGCTCCCAATCTTCAACTCCCACATCCACACCCTGTGTACTTGACACGGTCTGGAGTCTAGTTCGACATGGCTTCGAAAGACAAGGCCGAAGCCCAAGTGGCCGAGCATGTCACTTCGCATGGGCCCGCCACCGTCGACGATACCGACGCGGCCATCAACAATGAGCACAACATGACTGTCCGACAATCCCTGCGGTTCTGGTGGAAGGCAATCATCTTCTCTTTCATCATTTCGCTGTGTGTCGTCATGGAGGGATACGATACCAGTCTCATGAACAAGTTTTTCGCCTTCCAGCCTTTCTGCGACAGGTTCGGTGACCAAGTCGACGCTCAAGGCACCAGGATTGTCTCGTCGCGTTGGCAGACTATCATTCTCAATGGAACACAGGTACGCATCGCACTGGATTGTCGGTACCACCAGCGTCATGGCTGACATGACCATATAGGTCGGATGCATTCTCGGACTCATCCTTAACGGTTACGTTACTGAATGGATTGGATACAAGAAGACTATGATTGGCAGCATGCTCTTTATGACTGGTGCCGTTTTCATCCCATTCTTCTCCACGGGCCTAGAGATGTTTCTCGTGGGTGGTATTATCCAAGGTCTCCCCTGGGGTATTTTCCAGACACTGGCAATTTCGTATGCTGCTGATCTGTGCCCGACTCATCTGAGAGGTACGTGTAGTGAATCCAAAGACGCATCATGTTGCTGACTGATACCAGGATACATGACATCCTGGATCAACATGTGCTGGGTCATTGGCGGTCTTTTATCCACTGGTATTCTCAGCGGACTTATGAAGAACCAAACCCAGTGGGGCTACCGCATTCCTTTTGCGCTCCAGTGGATCTGGCCCATTCCAATCCTAACTGCTACCCTCCTCGCACCGGAATCTCCATGGTGGCTCGTCAGACAAGGCCGCATCGACGAGGCCAAAGACGCCATCCGTAAGATTACGACCCCCATCGAAGGCGTCTGCTTTGACTTGGATGCACACGTTGAAATGATGGTCGTTACAAATCAGTACGAAAAGCAGGTCAGCGCGGGTACTAACTACTGGCACCTATTCCGAGGAAGTGACCTACATCGGACGGAGGTATCTTCTATGGCGTTTATTACTCAAGCTCTGTGTGGCGTTCCTTTCATGGGGTTCGGGACACAGTGGATGCGTAGCGTCGGCCTCAGTCAGAACGATGCGTTCCATCTTACCGTTGGGCAGGATTGCTTAGGCCTTGTTGGGTGCTTCATTGCTTGGTGGATCATGACGAGGTTTGGACGACGACCCATGTACCTTGTTGGTCTTACTTCCATCTTCCTTATTCTCATGATTGTGGGGTTCATTGGCCTTACACCACCGTCAAACAAGAGTGCTGGTCTTGCAGGAGGTATTATGATTATCCTTATGATTTTTTGTTTCCAGGTATGTCATCCTCAGTATCCCCGTTTTCGTCTCATGTCTAACGAAACCAGCTTTCACTCGGACCCATTTGCTATTCACTCGCGGCCGAAATCCCGTCGTCCCGTCTCCGAGTCAAGACGGTTGCCCTCTCTCGTGCATCGTACAACTCGATCGTTTTCGTCACCAACACCATCATGCCCAAGATGGTCGGCAAGAACGACTGGAACTGGGGTGCCAAGGGCGGCTTTTTCTGGGCCGGCATCGCAGTGCTCTTCATCATCTGGGGTTACTTCCGCCTTCCCGAGCCAAAGGGCTTCACATACTCTGAGCTCGATCTCATGTTTGAGCACAAGGTCTCGGCACGCAAGTTCACGCGCGAAGCAGCTGATGCGCTGAAGCCTGTGCTTAGGGACACGGCGGCGCAGTACGAGAAGCAAAACGATGTTGACCGATCATAGTTTCACACATAATGTAATGACGGCGTGAGCCAGTGGCAATACCGAGCTTCATCAACCTACATTCAATATACGATTTCTCAGTAGCTAAACTCTTTTATGATGCCTGTTTCGTCTGGACCCAATCGCTGCAACTTCTTGTTTCGCCATTGGTAGTAAAAGCGCAGTCCAACACATCCGACAGCAACCATGATGAGCATTGCAAAGTTTGTCCAATGGCCCGTCGGATACCCCTTTTTCTTTTCGTTTGCCTTGTAGATCCACACACCTACGATTTGGCCGGGGGCACCCCAAGAGACATTCAGGGCGATAGCTAGTCCGGCGGCAGCAGTACTGTGCATGTTGCTGCTCAGCCAGCCGAGTAGCGGTGGAATGCAAGAAAATGCACCGCTAGCCGCCACAATCAAACACCCATACCGCGCGTGGTAAGCGTCTGCAGGAAGAAGAGCCGAAGCAAGGAAGCCGATTGCGCCAATGGTGGACAAGACGGCAGAATGCAACGCTCGAGCGTTGAAATAGTCCGACGACCAAGCAGTCAGGATGGATACCACGTATGCCACCACGTACGGCGGAACCGTCATCAGCTGGGCCTGCAGATTCTCGTAGCCCAGACCCGCCGTGATGGTAGGCGTGAACAGCGACAGCGAGCTGAAAGGCGCCGAAATACCAAAGTAAATGACATAATGCACCCACAGCCTTGCGTCGAGCAGCGTCGCCTTTGCCGTCTCCCACGACAGCGACGGCGCATCCCCTTTGGACCCCTCGTGTTCCAACCGCGCAACCGCCAACTCGCGTTCGGCCGTCGACAGCCACGACGCCTGTTCAGGATAGTCTGGGAGGAAGAACCACACGGCGACGGACGAGACACACGAGGGGATGCCCTCGAGAATGAACAGCCACCGCCACGCCGCAAGGCCCTGCACCATCTTCATATGCCCAACGCCGTAGGCAATGGCGCCGCCAAACGCCCCCGCCAGCGTGGCACTCGCCAGGATGATAGCCACGCGGATGCTGCGTTCGCGCGCGCGATACCAAAAGGTGAGGTAATACACGAGGCCTGGGAACAAGCCCGCTTCAAACATGCCGAGCAGAAACCGCACCGCCGTCACCGTAGCGTAGTTCTGCGCGCCCCCCAGCCCAATCGTGCATGCGCCCCAGGCAAACATGAGGAACGCGATCCAGCGGCTGGGCTTGAGCTTCTTGAGGAAATAGTTGCTGGGGACTTCAAACACGGCGTACGCGACGAGGAACACCATGAGCGCGGTGGTGAAGTCGTAGTTGCTCATGTGTGTTTGCTGCAGCAGCGATTGGCCCTCATTTGCGTTGAGCGTCTTCGCATTCCCGATGTTGGACCGGTCCAGGAAACACAGCAGGTAGATGCCTGCGGAGAGGGGGATGATGCGCAGGTCTTGCTTGAGGATTAGGGCACGCTCGGCAGGCGAATCTGGGTCTTCGACTGTGGAAATGGCTTGCGTGTCCTACTCCGTCGTTGGTGTTAGACATTCGCGATTCATCAGCTGGGGGCCAAACATGCCGTGTATTTATCGGTGACATTGCCATCTTTCTCGACATCCCTTGCCGAAGCCATGGTGCCCAGCTGCCCTCTGTTATTTTTTTTTCTTTCCTCGAGAAGGGGGAGACGCCGGTCTAAAGTATCCTGCAGCCCAGATCGTGCCAGCAAAGTCGAAAGCAAAAGGAAAAACTATATTCAAACAAGGTTACAACAGCGTACTATATTTTACACACCTAAGCACCACCAAGCAAAATGCTTAGTAGCCACCCCGCTTACCTGCATCCAGGCATCTGTGCGCGTACAGTAGATTGGTTGTTGGGGCCCAGCACAATTGACGCTACACGGGTGCTGATGAGCAGTCTGGATTGCACTTTGCAGTCTAGCGCTCAAGTCAGCGATGTGACATGATTAGTTGAGATCCCCTCCCCGCATTCCATCGCCCTACAGGGACAACTGTGAACTCGTCCGTTTTTTTTTGTTTCTCCACATTGTGTTGAGGGAGGGGCGCGCTGCATGTGCATGTGCATGTGCGGGTTACGAGGGATGTTAGGCGGTGGTTGCATCCAAGAGTCAGAATTCTCGGGAAAATACCCCCGGGCAGGGGTATGATGACTCGTGTGTGCGTGGTGGGAATTGGCATGATAGGCCCTGGGTTGGTTGCGATGCGAGAGGAATATGTATGGCTGGATTAATCTGGCTATTTACGCGTGTGGAGAACAGGCGATGCTGGAGGTAGATTTGTGCCCGAGGAAGTTGGGATGGAAGGGGTATAATCGCTTCAATCAGCGTTCTTGGTAACGCAGGTATGGTTTGGATGTGCCTATGACTCTTCTCAGGTTGTTCGGCTCCATCAAATGCCTGGCTGGTGATGTGAATACAAGTATCATTCTGTGCGGTAACGCTGTATCTTCATAGTGGTTGGGTATGGCGCGGGAATTGTAAATCTTGACGCCGATAGCATAGTTAGTACCTAGATGGCGCTCTGTACTATTAGAATCAACAGCTGTTTGGTAGTCTAAATTGGATGGTTGAGGTTCAGTACCAAACTTTGAGCTACTTGTCGTTGTAGAGAATAGCGTAACGGCTTTGGATTTGACCAAGTTATCATTCGCCACTCGTCCTTTAAGATATGGGATAACAGGACCGCTTTGATCTTACGATTCCCTTCACACTGATTGAAGTGGACATCTCCAACCAATAATACACGGACGGATTTAACAAGCTCCTGCCACCTATCGGGTTCGCAAATGAATAAGGCCACTTTTTAGGCAAAGATGTTGGCAAATGTATTCTAACTAACGTAGATTACCTTACTGCCGTCTTCCATCTTGTACTCTACTGCGCTGTTGTCGCAGCTTGGATCAGACTGATTAGACCGACTGCAAGTTGATAGGATGAGTGGGAAGCTCGCTTATTGGCTGTATCAATCGTGGTAGTAGCGTATAGTTTCATATCTTGCTATCTTGTAAAGACTACGGATCTGTTTAATTCGCTTGACCCCGATCTAACTTATCAGTCTAGCAGCTCCAACAGTTGTGAAAACGCTACGTCAGCACGTTCAAATCACACATAACAACAGCTACTTATTTCAAATGGATCCACTGGCCGTATCTTGTACCACAAGATTCGTGAGTTGTGCTCAAATATATTCCAAATATACAATGTCTTGGTGGTGCAGAAAGACTAGAAGTGGTATACCAGTAGTCTAAATGTGACCAATAAAGGTAATAGAAATAACATGTGAGCGCTAGTGGAATGAAATACATTTTCATTTTCTAGTGCATATAGGATGGTTTACCACAGCCAGAAGAATATGAGATATGTCAGCTCCTGCCGCCCACCCAGAGCGCATTGTGTATTGAGAAGCCACAGTTTTCAGATCAGGTGTATGAAGAATTGCGGCGGCTGTGCTACAACGAGGCTAGCGTCAATACTCCACAACTGTTTAGCTCCCGCAAGCATTGACGTTCCGTGTGTACGCGACAGGCAGCTCGATGCGAACATGAGACTAGAACGAATAACCAAAGCTTTGCAATGAGACTTGAGAAAACCCAACAGAGATTGATTGAGGGGCGTATCGCGGACCTGGTGCAATATCGTGACAGTCTGTGATATGCAGGCGCCGGGTGCGGAGAGCAGGCGTCACGGCCGAATCGGGCTAGCGCAGGAGCTAAGGCAAGGAACGTGACCCAACGCCATGACGTTGGCAACAGGGCCCGTGCGCTACCTCTGCTTCGCCCCAGCCTCACCATGGAATCGCGGCCGCCATCCAGACGCCATCCTTATCACGAGCAGAGCTCCACATCCCTCCCTCCACAGCTAACCCCAATCACCTTCCCCAACTTTGGGCCTCGCATCTGCAAAAAGTACCCTCGCACCTATTCCTCCCGCCAAGACACGTCTTCGCAGCTCATCCCTTGCTCCCTTGCTCCCTTGCTGCCGTCGCCGCCATGCAGCTCACTGCGCTCTTGCTTGCCGCGCTCAGCGCCGTCTCCGTCTCTGCCACGCCTTCGTGGCTGGGAGGCGACCAGATCGTGGTCAAGGAAGACTACAAGGTGCCGGGCGACAACCCGCTGTACTTCTGCGGCGACCCAGCCGACGACATTCTCACGATTGAGAAGGTTGACCTTAGCCCCAACCCGCCCAAGCCGTACGTCCTGCTTACATCCGAAGCCTTTTGGAAGCCAGCTACGTCGCCAACGGAGACTAACGCGTGTGTAGTGGCGAGAGGCTGAGCATCAAGGCCACGGGCAACTTCAAGCAGGAAGTTGACGAGGGTTTCACCATGCACCTGCAGGTCAAGTACGGCCTCATCACGCTCATCAACCAGAATGCCGATGGGTGCGACACCATCAAGAAGGGAGATCTCGACTGCCCGCTCGAGAAGGGCGAGATGAGCTTGACCAAGGACGTTGACCTGCCCAGGGAGATTCCTCCGGTGCGTCGCACAAGTCTGTCACGTAGATTGCGACATGATGCTAACAGTGCCACAGGGCCAGTACACGGTTCTCGCCGATGTCCTTACCGAGAATGGCGACAAGATTACCTGCCTCACGGCCAAGATCGCATTCCACCGGTAAATGTTTTCAAGTCTAGTTCGACACCACACCACACGACCAAAACAACGGTGTCTGATTTCAACAACGCAGGGGAGGCATGGAGGAGGAGAATGCCAAGGGCGGGGGTAAGATGAAATTCGGGCAGCCACGAGTGCAAATGTCTGGGCCTTTGGCAAGCATGGTGCAGGAGCGGTTGCGACGAAGGAATGAGTTGTGAGAATGGGATGAATTTGTTTTGGAAAATGCGCAATGCCAATCATGTGTTGGATTTTGGTGTAAGGCTTGCGTTTGTAGTCGAGAGCTGGACCATGGGTTAATGTAGATACGACGGATATGCACACGGTAATGGCACTCTGCTTTTGCAATTGATGGATATCATTTCCTAAACATGGCTACATAATCTGTGACAAATCGTGGACTGGCTAGTATGTTTAGTGCCAGGACAGCAGGAGGCGCGATACATGCTGTACATGCGGCTCGCGTGCAAGGCCGTCTACTCTCCAAACAACCTCCTCACGCGCTTCAGCACACTGTCCTTTTCAGGATTGTAAGGGTGGTCTTTGGACGGAATCTCCAGCAGCGAAGGAAAGGCTGCCGTGTACGACTCGACGCGGTGTCGTATCCTCTCAGCAATCTAGCTCTTGTCAGCCTGCTGCTGCTGCAACCCGATTCAAACATCAGACATGCGCATCAGACACCCAACAGATGCTCGCGCTGGGCCGGCCATTCGACGTACATGCTGGTTGATGAGCAGGATAGCAATATCCTTGCGCTCGGTGGTGAAGCGGTCAAAGGCAGCCTCAATGGTCGACGTTTCCGTCTTGCTGTCCACGACCAGGAAGTTCTTTTGGCTGTCGGGCGGCTGGGTAACGTGCTGCACCACTCGTCAGTCCGGTCTTCTGTCGCGACGCCTGAGAAAGCAATAGCATACGCCTACGCCCGCGAGCAGCATGCCCGTGCAAGTGTCCTGCCAACCGTTAGCTTTGCCCATGCGCACGCCCAGCTTTCGCCAGATACACACCTCATCGCCGATGACGGCCAAAAACTGCCTGTCCTTGTACTCTGCTGCCGGTGCTGCCATGGCGAAATGTGTATGGAGGGCAGCTGTCGTGAGGTCGGGGCTTGGCTGCTGGTCATGGAGCTGCCCGCCCGACGGTGAGCTGCAGGCCGTCGTCATGGCGCCTAGTCCGCGTTTGGCCAAATGTTTGGACCCTCGACTTCTTTCACTCCCTCTCCGTTTGCGCTCTGCAACACAACGCCATGTCGTGAACCGCGAAACCGACGCCCCCCGCCTTCTTTTCTACTCCCTTCTCCTCCGGCTGAAATACACAATTTTTTTTCCACCCGCCGCTCTACTAATTAATACCCATTTCTGCGCTCCACCATGCCCCGTCTCGTGCGCCGCGCGCCACTCTCCGAACGTATCAGAGCCTACCTCGATCCTTCCGACTGGCTGATTTGGATCTCCGAAGAACTCAATAGCTCCGACTGGGACGAGTTCGCCGCTTCGTATGCGCTCTATCTTGGCTTCGGCGCAAATGTTCTCTTCGTGCTCGCCCAGGCAAACAGTGGCGCGCCTGCCGCCTCAGACGATGACGGTGTCTTCAACCAAGTCGACGGCCCTGGGTGGATCAAGTGGATACTGGGCTTGGTAGTCATGGTGCTGGGCGGACTCAGTTTTGTCAACGCATGGCTGGTTTGGGGAAAGAGGAGGTACTATCGTCTGTTTGAACAAAAGGTCGACGTGGCGCCGCGCACACCCAGCGCGAAGCGCGTTCGGGTCGACTCGTCCCCTGCCTCGGCGAGCCCCATGCAGTTTGTAAGGAATCTGGTCAAGAACGATGCCGCGAGCAGGGCGCATCCGGTAGAGGGCAGAGACGTGTGGGAGGTTGCTGTCTGGGACCCAAACCCCCTGTGTCTGGAGCTGTTCTGTCTCTTCAGCCCGCTGCATGTGGTGCTCTACTGTCTCAATCTTCCTGTTGGCCCTCTGGATCCGAGCCCCAGTGTCCGAGTTACAACGACCATTTTATTCGGGGCGGTGCTGTCTCTGCAGCTTTGGTGGCTGAGGAGCTCCTTTTCCCAGCAGATCAAGGATAACGCGCTCATCAGCCGCCAAGTGCTCCATGAGTACGACAGTAAGTTTGTGCACCCATCGCTGCAGAAGCCATGTCGCGATGTCGGCGTACAGACCATTTCAAAGAACCGCACGCACGATTCAAGCGTCGGGGTCAAGGGCAGCAGTCAAGACCTAGCCAGCGAAATCGTCACCTACACGCCCCGAACCATTATCAACCGCACTTTCCGCACAAACCCCAACGCCAACTACGCCTCGCAGTACGATCCCGATCATTCAGCCTCGGCATCGGTCTCACGCGCCTCGTCCAACACGCCCTCCCTCCGCCGTCGCGACAGCAACCCCCCACAGTACGCAACCACGTCTACGGGCACCGACGCCGACATGTTCTCTCCGATTCGCTCCTCCCAGCCACCAAACCCCTTCCGCCAAGCCCCTGTCATTGCCCGAGCCAACGCCGACGCAAAATCAACCGACGGAGGCTACCTAGGCATCAACACGCATGCCGCATCTCCACTGCGCAAATCATCCAGTTCAAATTTCATCCTCAGGGATGGCGACAGGAGCGCTGCGAGGGGAAAAGATAGTCTGGGCGGCGCGTTTGAGCGCAGAGCGAGCCCCAGCAAGAGAGATGTTAGCCCCTTGAAGCGAATCAGCCTGGGGAATGCCGCAGAGAGAGAGCGCAGCGAGCGGTCGTCGCTTGGAGGGAGAAGTAGTGGTGGGGGGTTGAGTGGGCTGGGTGTTGCAAAGAGGGATACAGCGCGGTTTTGACATGTGAAATAGATATTGAATATGAATGTACAACATGTTTACAGGATACAAGTTTTTTTTATTTGCTTAGGTTTCGCGTTTAGACATAAATATCTTTCTTTGTTTTTACATGTCATTGTACAATGAGAGATTGAGGTAGCCGCTGTGGTAAGCACGGGGGATTTTCAAGCAGGTTTATTTGAGGATGAGTTTACAAGCGCCACCACGCCGCAGACTCACAGTTCTTCGCAACACCAATCAAGGAATTGCCGCTGCGGTTGAATGAAACGTGAGGGATTTTGCGTGCGGCGCTTGTTCTATTTGCGATGATCCAAATACTGGATTTGATTGTTGAAATGCCATTGCAAGTGTTGCCTGCTTTTCAAACAGTTTCCTGTCAATTGATTTTTATTGCTTTGTTTGTGCATACTCGAACCATCGCTCTACAGTCTCATTCGGGGCGAGATATTGAAAGCAAGGTGGCAGGGAGACAAGATGACTGCAAATAAGAAACGCCTATATATTGCGCTGTACCCTAGTGGAGTCGTAGGCAACGAAGAAAGAAGGTATCCCGTAAAGTCCATCTACGTCGGCCGGCATGTATTAATTCGGCTAGATATCATTGGGCATTCCTGATTGGACCGAAAGTAGAGAAGGGCAAAGAAGTCCCAGGGGCTCGTTACCACGTGAAGAACAGCCCTGTAGGTGGGTGCGTGTATGAAGAGAAGGATGTCCTGGATGTGCGATTGACAAATACGTTACTTGGGCGTATTCTCATCGCAAAGGTGGAGAACGAACAACGTCTCGTCAATATTCTTCGGAATCTTCCAGTCGTCAACGGAGACCCAAATTGGAGATGTCGTACCTGGGTCAAGACGCTTTAGATGAGATTGCAAAAGACGGAACGTGCGTGGGTACTTCTGAGTTGGACTGCTCAGGCCCAAGCCAACATACGATCTGCTTGAAGGGAAGGAAACTGTGCCGTGAGGAAGGAAGATCTGCAGTCAGATAGGTTCCGATGAACCCATGCGGTGAGGCGCCAACTTCACCATTCACCCCACCACTTGTGACGGGTCTTTTCCATGTCCAGTTCTTCGGGATATGGGTCGAGCAATGAAATAAGAATCTCCTGCCACTCGGTTCTAAGCAGGTTTCCAAGCCAAGCAGACGTGTACTCCCAATAGGGAGGGTACCATCCTGAGAACTCCCAATCAATAATCCCAACTATCTTATCCCCACTAATTAAGATATTAGATGGGTTCAAATCACAATGTGTAAAAACTGGAGCGGGCCAAGGACCGTCATGTTTAGCAATCATTGCTTTAATGTCGTCCGCGTCCTCACTGGTGACATGGCTGCCTATTTGCGTTGCCTCAAGATTCTTCCTTAGCCAACGATGGAACTCTTGGGTTGATTTGAAAGGTCCGAAGCGCGGAGTCCCGTGCGGCAGGCGGGAATCGTATAAAGAGCCACCAACGCAACTCTCTATCCCTGTTCCAGGCGGAGGCTCCAAATTTCGAAGCTCTTGTATCATATCCTTTAACTGTGCGAATATTTTCTGAAGAGATTGCTTGGATAAATGCTTCCAAACGGTTGCCAGATCTTCGCCTGTGATTCGTTCCATGACGATATACGCTTTCTTCTTGTGGAGGAAAGAGCAATAGACTTTTGGTACAGGAATTGACGTGTGTTCAGCAACATACTTCATCGTGACCGCTTCAGTTAGGTGTACTGAGCATCCCGTTTTGAGCATCATACGTCTCGAAATCGGTATGCAGGGGCCGTTTCTAGTGAAGATTTTGGCTGTAGTATGAAGTGCTAAACGTGCCAAGAAACGATGAATAAACTTGTTGTTGATCGCTAGGCTTTCGCTGCCTTCATGTTGGGTTTGATAGATTGCAGGGTCAAAGTAAGTAGGTTCCATCCCGAAAGGCGTAATGAGGGTACCAGAAAACGCTATACCGCGCTATAAACTCGCAAAGAGATATGATATAGGTGTGTATGTAGACTATATGGGTGTAACGTGCGGGGAAAAGCGAGGAAGTTTTGCCCTGATATTCGGGCGGTGCCTGGGCGGATGGTATGATAAGTCTGACGTCAGAGCCAGCTGTAGACCATGAATATCGCGCTGATCACGCGCTTTGTCGCCGTTATATCTGTCTTTTCCATCATTAGCTGCTATCTTCCTTTTACCCTGGGCTGCGCCAACATGCCGTAACTTATCTCTGATGTATTCTGACAGTTCTGCCTCCCCCGTAGTAGCGCCTTTGTCTGCAGTTCCTGGCGAACGTCGAGCACGACGCGTGCTGCTTCCTCGGTCGTCCTCTGGTTAGGGCTGGAGGTGATGTTCGTCAGAACGCTTTCATGGGCTAGGGGGACACCGTCAGGTCTCCGACGCGGCGTGGCTTGTGCCGCACGGACCACCGCGCAGCGGGAACTACTACCAGTAAGGGAACGACAGGGGATCGAGCAAAAGAAGGTTAGATGAATATTCTCCTCTTCAACCGTACCCTCTTCCACTACTGCATGCTGCGCCGCACTATAGACTCTACCATCTTTTACTCTGTGTATCACCCACAACATCTCAGCTATTCACCACCTGGGCACCAGCATGTGAACTCCTCACACACACCCTCATCTACTTAGCAGGTTCTAATGGCGTTCTTACCTAGATCAATTCCGGGACCTATTATCCGTGCAGATAAACTGGATTTTGCGTCTTTCGTGAGATAAGGTCAATCCTGTGGAGTCATCTACGTGTGTTGAGTAGAGCTATATTCCATCATGGTAAGTGGGAAGGGGTTACCATGTTTAGGGCAGTGATGTTAAGTCTGGAACTATGACAGGGGGGCTTGATACCTCTTCTTCTAGACTTTTGGCATACATCCATATACGTGCAGAGAAACAAAAAATGCCGAAGAAGGGTGGTAGGGATGTATCATTTAGGAATATTGTTAGCTATCTTACACCCTGCATGCTGCAGGATTGCAAGGGTTTGAATTTGAAAAGTCAGAGGCAATTGATAGATTGGGGTAATTTGAGTTACTTTTAGTCGAGTTTACTTTGTTTGAATGATAAGTAAGTCTGATGCTGAAGCAGGGAGTGGGTAATATCATAAAGCGTGTTTATGAAACAATTCCTTCTTTATTGTATTTTACAAGAGAATTTTTTGTAAAGGGCAAGCAGTCAGATCACTTGATGTTGCAATTCACATTCAGAGCGAGGCAAATGAGTAATTACCGCATTGATTCCATCACAAACAGCACATGATATATACAAAAAAGTATAAATATAAACCCCAGAAAAGATCCATCATTCAGTCCATCAGCCCATGGCCATGACAGTCCAAACATCATCATTGCCCTAGAAGAGGCAGTAGCTCAATCGCTTTCATCAGCGCACGCTTAAGCGTACTGCTGGATGAAAGGAAGGAGAGCAGAGACACGGGCGTAGACACCAGGGAGGTTAGGACGAGCACATCCGTAGCCCCAAGAAACGACACCGATGAAGCCCTTGGCAGAGTTGACAATGGGGCCGCCAGAGTCACCCTGGCAAGAGTCACGGCCACCAGAAGTGACACCAGCGCAGAACATGCGGGTGGAGATAGTCTCCTGGGGGTAGGAGGCCTGGCAGGTGGCGCGAGCGACGACGGGCACGCTGACCTTGAGCAGGCTAGCGGAGCCGCTGCCACCCTCACGGGTAGCACCCCATCCAGCGACGGTGCTGGTGGCGCCCGAGGCAGGGTCGGAGCCGGAGGCGGGGAGGCTGGCGAAGGCAATGTTGCCGCCGGCGGAGACGGGAGTGGACAGCTTCCAGATGGCGACGTCGTAGTCGTAGGTGGCGGCGTTGTAGTTGGGGTGGGTGTAGACGGCGGAGACGCCGACGAGGGTACCACCGGAAGTGGTGCTCTGTAGCGTGCGTTAGTTTAGCTACTTCTTTTTTCTCCGAGTGTGGAGCGCTAAAGGTGAAACTTACCAAAGAGCCAACGCGGACGCGGAGGTTGGAAGGAGAGCCAATGACATCGCGAACCGAGCAGTGGGAAGCAGTGACAATGGTGTTGCTGTTGATGAGGGTTCCACCGCAGATGTGGCGGCCGCTGACCTGGAGAGAGGCAATGAAGGGGAACTCGCCAGCAGAGGCGGCAGTTCCACCAACAATGGAGTCCTCGGGAGTGTCGTCCCAGGTGAAGTCGGGGTCCTGGGGAGTGGGAGCAGCCAGGACGAGCGCGGGAAGCGCAGCAGCGAGGATGGATTCGAAACGCATGGTGTTTGATGAGTGTGGATAGTCTAAAGACTGGTGGACTGTGTAGAAGCGATGGTAGAGAAGCGACTGAATGAGCTGGCTGATGATGGATGTGAAGAGGGCAGACTACTGGATACTTATAGCAAACCTGTCGTCTCCCAGGGCTTGCAGGACATGGCTTACAGCGTCGAGTACAAAGTCGATGTCGACCTTCCTATTGCATCGTCTACTGAATACCAAGACTGATCGACTGGGTGTATTCTTGGGCCTTCCCATTCGGGGGGTATTATTGCTTGGCAAAGTCTTAACCAGAAGTCCGCCGTGGCTGTTAGGGTGGACGGTGGATGCCAATTAGTCCGGGTCTAGTCAGTACGTTATCTCTGCATAGGCTAAGCTTTTCCCAATCAAAGGCCTGGGGCGAATGCGAAAGAGGCAGCTGATCCAACGGTTGCTCCCGAATGCCAGGGTCGCCACAGTAATCTGAGTGTTACGGTGCGATTGAAGTCTGCATGTCGCCGTCGCCGTGTCCGGAGGGCTGCTGTTGCTTTTCTGCCCCGTCCCCCCTATTGTGAGCACGCTTGCAATGTGCGCTACCAGCAACCAGCCAGCAACCAGCCAGCAGCCCGCTGCCAGCTGTCATACGGCATGCTAACGGCCGGCTGCGGTCTGCCAATGTTTGTACTTTTCCGCGGTGCATTGCAGCGGCGGAGACACTGCGCCCGACAGAGCAGGAGACAGTGGCTGTGAGTTCCTGCCAAGGCAGCCTTGCAGCCGGGCTTGAATGTGTATGGCCGGGCTTAGCAAGGCATCGCCTTGGTCTTCCGTGTTGAGAATGGGCGTCCAGGCGCTGCAGTGTTATCGCGAGGTACCACTGAGTCGCGCGGGCACGTCTGGGTGTGCCCCAGCAGGCTTTCCGGAAGCGGTGCGCAAACCGACAAAAGCACCGGCGGGACAGAGCTGGAATTTCCACATTGGTCAGGTCTGAAGCATCATGTATATTGCGCAGGCCAGTTGGCAGGGGGAGCCGGGCATGCCAGCGGGCGAATGACGCAGCGGAGACGGGCTTCAAGGCCCCAGGATCAAAAGCAAAGCCATAGGACCTGCCGCAACGGACGCGCCCGTGGGGGACGCCATCGACTGGCGCCGTGCTTGGCGTCGCTGGAGCAATACAGCGGACTGCAGCGATGCTGGAGCTGGCAGGGTTGGTGGTAGGGAGGACGGGAGTGGTTGACGCCGGGTTAGGGCCAAGAAGGGCAGGAGATTTGGCGGCCAGCTGCGAGGCATAGCATAGGGCGGACTACTGGCGCTTGGCGGTGCGCGCGTGAACCGGCGATTCGGCCCAACCGAGCAACTGATCATCGTATCGGCGCGTGTCTGCAATATGCTGCATCGCCATTGTGCGAGGAGGATGGGGAGGATGGGGAGGATGAGGAGGATGAGGACGACGGGGACGACGAGAAGGATGAGTAAGGCGGCGCCGCCCGCGCCAGCTCGACGCCGGACAGGCCGTGATAGCGTCATCGCACGGGAGCTGCCTCTTTTGCCTCTGCCACCCCCAGCATCTGAATCCTCCGGTCCGGGGAGCATAATACTGCTTCTTGGCCATCCTAGCCCGCTCGGTTATCAGCCGCATTCACGCCTTGGCCGGTTCTACATAGCGACGGACATTCCAGGTGCAGTCTTGGCACGTCACTGGGTTGCTTGTACGCAGTGTCAGGCCCGAGTAGGTACTATTCCCCCCCACCCCCACTCCACTCCAGTCCTCTGCAACCACGCCCCCCCCCAACCACGCCTCGACACGAATGCCCGCCGAAACAAACAGACGCCGCAACCTGCTTTGGGCCCTCGGGATATTCTGTCTTATCCTGGTCTCGTTCCGCGTCTACGCAGCAAAAGAAATGGACTCGCTGCCCGCCCCCTTCACCATCGAAATCGATGGCACCCCCATCGCAAAGGCCCCCGCGGATGCTGCGGACCGCACTCAGGCACACATTGGGACCGAGCCTGCTGCAGTTTTTGAGCTGAAGGACAAGCGCCTCCAGTCCGACGGCCATATCCTCGCCCGAGCTTTGTCCGAAGACCGTAGCTTTAGCCCAAAGAAGGTCATGTGGTTCAAGGCCGACACCACTGTGCCTGTCTACGATGTTGTTGCTGCTCAAGATGGCGAGGATTATTCACTCCAGTTTTCCGGTACGTTGTTATTGTTGTTGTGGTCTTGTCTGCTGGTTCATCTACTTTTTTCTCTCTTACTGACTGCCGCAGGTGCCGGCCTAATGGCATCGGATGGCCAGGTTTTTGCAGACATCATGGGCAGTGAGTTGTCTCTATTGCTACTGATTTGTCTCTTTTACTGACGTGTTCCAGCCAACCCTTCGCGTGTTGTGGTAAAGATGCAATCTTGAATCCAGCTAGTCATGATGCCTGTCGATCTGCTCAATGTATCACATGACATGGCTGTGACTACTGCAGGTACATAATTGTGCTTATGTAGATCTCCCCAATACTCGCTGTATGAATGACGTATCTTCGCTAAAAGCATCCTTGAGCCAAAATGCCCAATACATGTGCTTTTCCCATGCTCATAGTGCGCCTACGTGGACATGTATTTTCTCTTTTAGAATACATCAGCCACCACAGCAATGTGCCCTAGACCCATCGATCAGCCAAATAAAAGAACAAAGCTCTAAAACAGCGTGGGATTTGTTTTTCCCCGCATGTGACGCATACGACTGTGGTGAGCTTGCACTGGCAATACTTTTTTCGGCATATGGAATTTTCGGATCATCTTTTGCCTGAGTATATATGTATTTTTTATTACTTTATGAAAACATCGCACCAAAGCATCAATATGTTGTAATGATGTGTGTATGTGCTGTTCAAGAAACCATTACAAAACCGGATGCTTTTGCACCAAAGATTGAGGCACACTTGAGGAAAAAAAAAGAATACACAACATAAAATGACACCTTCAATGTTATACTTCACGCAAGGAAATTGAGCCATGCCTTTTCTCTTTCTGTAAGATTTTGTAATCGGAAAGAACCTTTGCTTCCCCTTCCAAGAAGAGCATCCAACAACAGAGCCGGCACTCGACCTGATTATTTTCACCTTAGACCCAGACTCCTCGCAAAACCATTAGCATAGCTACTGCACCTGCTACAACAAACACCCTCCATAACCTGATCATATGCATGCCACTCTCTTACCACCATTTCTCTCGCAATTCGCAGCCCATAAAATCCATCTTATGTGTCCCGTAAGTCCCAAGTCCGCCCAGCAAACCTCAGGGTCCGTGTAAATACCCCGACGCCACGCACTTGATGTCCACCAGACATAAAAGTCACGCATCTACTGTAAATCAAGCAGCAAAAAAACATGGATCCACGCACGCAAAAATTCTACACACACACACACACACAACAACCAACCAAGTCCAAGCGTCCAGATACCTACCCAGCCAAACCAAACCCAGAATTATTCCCGACACCTAGCATGGCAAACAACGCGAACAGAACAAAGTTTCGCCCCCCCCCCGGCCCGCTAGACTCAAACGCCTCATGAGTTCGTTCGTTAGCTCCAGTAGCCCCAGTTACACGCTTACACTAGTTTCTGTGTCTCCCCATCCCCGCCCCTTGTCAAACACTAGTGACCGAGTCTAGTAACTGGTGTGTGTGTGTGGGGGGGGGGGGTGTTTTAGGGTTTGGTTTGGTTTGGTTTGCAACTAAACTAACTAAACTGACTAACTAACTAAACTAACTAACCAAGTGGGGGAGAGTGCTGGTGCTACTCAAGTGACTTGTTTGTGTCATGGGCATGTGAAACGTTGTCTGGAACAAGTCACTGGATAAGAAAGAGAGAGAGAGAGAGAGAGAGAGAGAAATAAATGGCAAAAGTTAAGGTAGTGTGTTTGTGGTGCGGTAGGATACGAGGAGGGCGTTTTGAGAGTGCTGGTACAAGTGGCGATGGGGTGAGATTGGGGGAGGGGGCTGAGAGGTATAGTGGCCATGTAAGTATGTATGTGTGTACTTGGATTGGTTGCATGCTATACTTCTTCTGGAATATGCAACCCCGGCACATCCATTCACAACGCATACAGACATAGCATCACAAATATACGTTGCACGCCATGTTTGTCATTCGTGACCTCCATAACAAACTCCTGATAACATTTACTTGATTGCGACAATGCTAATCAGCAAAACAAAATGCAACTCGCAGTTTCGCCTGGTCTTTTCTACACGGTCATACTAGCATTCTCAGGCATCTTGACCAGCCAGTTTTCCCAGAACCTGAAGCCGTCAATGCCCTGTTCTCGGCAGAGTGCCCCTGCTTCTTCGGCCATTTCTAGCTCCTCGGTTGCTACACCAACGCTCCAGCCAAATCTTTCGGCCGTCTCTTGCACGGTTACGCCCCGGCCAAACGTTTGCCAATCCCACGCGACTTCGGTGCTGGGTGGTTCTTGATGGAGACTCTTGAGCCAGGCCAAAAGACTAGCAATCGTCTTCTCGTCGGTACGATCGCGACCTTGTACTACGAGAAGACCGCTCTTGAACTTCCGCAGGCGTACCGGCAATTTCAACGTATCCCACATACGGGCTGCCTTTTCAAAGTCCGAGGGACTGACAAGTTCAACACCACCTCTTGCACGATTGAAGACGGCCCATAGATCCACGAGCGTCATGATTCCACCTTCTTTTCTCAGAATACCGTGCGTGTCGTCAGTCAACCACTCAGCCAGATTCCTCGAAAGCTCCGACACGTAGAGCGACTCGGAACCTGACCCAGAGCCAAGCATATCCTTTGTCGTTATCAGACCTAGTGCAGATGCAGATTGAGATGCTAGTGCGTTTGCCTCTGAGCTGCCGTTAGTACCAAGATTGGCCTGCGATGCAAATTGCTCTGCGAGGGCGATAATCTCCTTTGCAGATGTCATCAAAGCCTCCAGATCTTCAAAGGCGCTGCCTATCATGGCCTCGTTGTTTTGCCTTTGCTCCAGCCCGCGTCGCTCCAAGCCCGCAATGCCAACGACCCGCGGCCGCTCAACTTCTGCATACGAAGCCTCAGACTGGGCGGCAAAGCCATTTTCATTGGTGCCGGATGACAGTCGTGGCTTGGGAATTGGTGGGGCGCTCTGAAGCAGCCATTTGCGTTGTACCAAGGCATTCTTCAGGCGCTCAAAGAATATAGGCCCGCCGCCCGCACGGAACGATATCTTGATGCATTCGATAGTCTCGGACTGCAGTGGTGTCGAGAGCGTCGGGCCTGGAGACTCTGATCTGCTTGGTTCTTGAAGCATGTCGAATCGCCTGTCCACGGCCGTTGTCAAGGACGCGCCGCATATCTCGCAATTAAGGAGAGAGGGATGGTTCTGGTAGGTACAGCGGGGACATGATGATGACGATGCTGCAGGAGCAGAAGGAGGTGGAGCAGTTCCATCCCTTACATCTTTTGGAGGCGGGCCAGGCGCTGGTCGGTTCGACATGGCCGCTATAGCCGCCTTGACGACATGTACCGTCGGCGGCTTGATCCCGCAAGCCAGGCATGGCGGTATAGGTGTGCGAGACGCGAGAGCGGGGTCAAAGTTTGAGGGCACGGGGTTGGAGAAGGAGCATATCGGGCACACCCACGTCGCGCTCGTTGGGGGTGGCGGCGCGGGGCTGCTATGTCGCGGGGGGGTTGCAGATGAGGCCGACGGTGTTGGGGCTACAGGAGCTCCACGCGATAGTTGCTTTGAAGGCTTCGGATAGAGGGTGACCTTGGGCGAAGACTTGAGGAAGCCAGCCTATATCACTGTCCGTCAGCAACGGCAGACGGCCGTGGATATGAACCATGTCCCGCGTACATAGAAGTCTGGTTTCTCGACGTCTTTGAGGAAGATGGCGACGGAATTCTTGCGCGGCTCATTGTGGTCGACGTAGCAGACGCGGTGCGAGGTCAGATACGACTGGCCATTCTGATATTGAGGTATCTTGAACTTGCTGTACACATGGTCAGCAGCAGCCTCGGGCCGTGGGCGGGCGGCGCGTACCCCTCATAGAGCCCGACGGCATCCTGGACAAACAGCAGCGTCTCCTCCGGCAGGAGCGACGGGCGCAGTGCGGTGGTGAGGTCGAGCTGGTGCAGAAACATTCAGACCATCTGCAAGTGAGCATGTGCAAGAGGCGGCCATGACATTGGCGGCGGGCATGGGAAACCCACTGCGCGTTCCCAAGCCCAAGCCCTGGCCCGACAGTCGTCATGGAGCCGGCGCTAGGCCACTTGCGGTTGGCGGCAGGCTGGTGGGCGCCAAGGACCAGCGCGAAGCAAATCAAAGTGCCCCAGCGGGCTATCGCTTCACTCTCACCACTCACCTCCATCCACGCCCACGTACGCACATTTAGGTCTCTGCCCGCGTGCGCCGCGCAGTGCTCCATCATCTCCCATCCACCTTGCACATACTCACGCTGCAGTCCCCTTCACCTTGGCCCTGTTTGCTTTCCTTTCCTACTACTGCTACTGCTACTACTACATGTCCTTGCCCTCTGCCACCGTTGCGTGGTCGCAACCGATGCAGTCACCCGCCTATAACACCGTCACTCCTCGCACCACTCTCCAGTCCGCGCCCGCATCTGTTAGTCTTGACTGCTCCCCCGGCCGCCTCTGCCCTCGCTTACCACAACTGCAGTCTGCCATGGCCCCTGAGGCGCCCAAGAAGAAAGTCGAATGGCCCCCTGCCGTGCGCGAGTACGTGAGACGAGCCTTTGATCCAGCCAACGCGATACCTGGCATCTCGCAAGCCGAAATGCAAGCGAGGTTGAAGACGACGATCGGCTGGTTTGCGGAGCGCAACTCGCATGACACGGTACATTGGCCTACATTCCCTCTCCCCCAAGAGCTTCTCCTCGAGGAACGGCGAGTTGCCGCGCTCGGCACGCCTGTCAATGGCGGTGTAAACGGCATGCAAACTACATACGTGAATGGCTCGGCCGAACAAACTAACCAGACCACACCCCTTTCCAAGAAGCGCAATGTTCACGACACTGAAGAGGCACAAGCCGAACAAGGGCAAACAACTATGCCGCCGTGGCGCAAGACTAACCTAGCATCTCGCATGACATATGCCGACGGGCACTCTGAAAAACGGCAGAAGAAGAATGCATTCGCGGAGTCCGCAAGTAAGTTTGACCAGGGCGAGCTCGACAAGCGACGACAACGCTTTCAGCTCAGCAACAACGGATCCAAGACGACGCCACCGCCGTGGGGCTCGCCACGCAAAGACGAAGACGAAATGTCTAGCGGGCCCGTTGTGGGCACCAACGAGAAGCTTGAAAAGAGCTATTTCCGCCTGACGGCACCACCCAAGGCTGAAACGGTGCGGCCGCTGCACGTGCTTAAGAAGACGCTGGCGATGCTTGTGGAGAGGTGGAAGGCGGAAAAGAACTACAACTACATTTGTAACCAGTTCAAGTCACTGCGGCAGGATCTGACGGTGCAGCACATCAAGAACGCGTTTACGGTCAAGGTGTACGAGATCCACGCGCGCATTTCGCTAGAAAAGGGGGATTTGGGTGAGTATAACCAGTGCCAGACGCAGCTCAAGTCACTGTATGGGCAGAAGCTGGGGGGCAACCCAGCTGAGTTCAAGGCGTACCGCATTCTTTATTTTGTGTATACATGCAACAAGACGGACATGAACGACATGTTGGCAGAATTAACCCTGGCAGACAAGACACACCCTTGGATCAAACATGCTCTTGACGTCCGCTCCTCGCTTGCCCTTGGCAACTACCACAAGTTCTTCCGGCTGTATCTGGAAGCGCAGAATATGGGGGCTTACCTCATGGACATGTTTATTGAGCGTGAGCGGCTCAACGCCCTTGCTAATATCTCGCGCGGGTATGTAGGCCCATGTTTGTTTGTGTGTTTGTGTGTGTTTTTTTTTTTTTTTTTTTTTTTTGGGTGGGCGTGGGCGTGTCAAGGCGGTGGGCTGACCAAGGCATAGATACGTGAATGTCACGCTTCGTTTCCTCACTGATGAACTTGGGTTCGACAACGATGAAAGTTGCCGTGAATTTCTCGAGAGCCACGGTGGGCAGAACATCATTGAAGACCGAGGCGACGGCCAGCACCGCGTCCGGATCCGCGAAGTGGCTGCCGACATTGAGCGGCTCCGTGCTGCTGCATTCAGCAAAGTAGACATCAAGGGCCAAATATGAGGCGGCTGTGGAGCATGCGATAGTTGTTTCTCGGGCGCATTGCAATATATACTGTTGTGGCCGTGAGGGAGAAGATGATTTTTTTTCTTGGATAGACTAATGTTGTGGATTGGTTTCCCAAGTTGCTTGACCATGGTGGGCCAGGATGTGTTGTGGGCCGTGTTGAGGGGCAGGTTTGAGGGGTGTCATTCAGGGTGGTGATGGGGTGATTGTGGGTGGCTAGTAAGCGGAAGGCGGGGCGGCCGTTGCATGGGCTAGATGCAGGGAACTTTCTAGATGGCTTCTCTCTCACGCCCAGGGTTTCAGACGAGGACGTGGTCCGGCGGATTCAGCCAGCCGGGCAGCCTGGCACGTCATCCGGCCCATGGGGAAACACGGCGTGGGCAGGCAGGTGGGCGGGCTAGAATGGACGAGGAGTGGGCGGGGTCACGAAGGTGCAGAGGCAGTTCCGAGGACGTCTCAGCGCCGTCGGGTCGGGAGGCGGCCGGTCGCGGCAGGCGAGGCGGAGGGCCGCCGCGGAGGCAGTGGCAGCGCGAGTGTGAGGGCGTGGGAGCAGACGAGCACGCGGGCTTTGGACGAGCGTGACATGAAGGGAGATTTAGTCTGGGGGTGGTTGCAGGCGGGATTGTGGCTGTTGGAGTAACAGGCTGTGCTTTGTGGGCCGCTGGTTGGAGGCGCTGGGGACGCGGCCAATCAGGCGGGCGGGGAGGGCTTGGGGCTGGCGATTGGGCGGCGAGGAGGGTGTAGGCTCTTGCAGAATGCAGCGTGGCAGAGGCATGGGGAAATGCATTGGCTGGCATGCAGTGGATATACTTACATGTGTGTGTGTGTGTGTATGTGTAGATGAGGGCAGTACTTGGTATGCACCGACATGGTGCCAACGGCGCGTGTGCGGTGGCGGCGAGGGCATCCAGCATGACCCATGTGGGTGTGGGTTCGCATGGACACAATGACATGTTCATGCAAGGCTGGCAAAGAAGCAAGGTGTAGGCCTGGACGGAGTGGGGCACGAATGGTAGGCGCGCGTCGGGCATATTTGGATTGGGTTACGAGCACGAGTGAAGGAGACGGCGAGGCGTCGTCTTGGTGGTGTCGTCAGCCCGCCAGCCCGCCAGCCCGCCAGCCCGCCAGCCCGCCAGCCCGCCAGCCCGCCAGCCCGGCAAGCAGGCAAGCATGCATGCAGTAGACACAGACACAGACACAGGCGCAGACGTCGTCGACGCCCACACACTCACACGCTCACACACACTCGCTCTCGCTCTCGCTCTCCCCAAGGGAGCCGCCTGCCAAGTCTCAGGTGGTGCAGGGCTGGGGTCCCTTCGCCGTCAAGCCTCCCGCTCATTTCTTAAACTTTTGGCTACGGCGCCTCTCTCTGTACCTGATCTGACGCTCCCTGCGCCCGACTGCCTCGCTGCCAAACAGTCGTCGGCGCACGATTCACCTTCATCTACGCCCGCCGCGTACTCGCCCCCGCACACGCCGCATCCCCGGTCGGCGCTCCCAAGTAATATACTGACTACCCGCTCGCACACACACGCTCGCACTCGTGCTCGCACACACGCCTGCTGCCTCGTCTGACGTCTTCTCGCTCTTCCCGCCCGTAGCAGCGCAGAGCCGTTGCCCTCGTCGCCCTCGTCGCCCCGCCCCACGATGAAGGTGAGAGAGAGAGAGCCCCTCTGCCTTGTGCCTTTTGCCTTTTTGCCCTTTTTTGCCTTTGCTTTTGCCGCCGCCGCCGCCGGTGCCTGCGCCTGCGCCCGCGCCCGCACTTGGACTTGCGCCGCCCAAGCCCTCGCCAAAAGGCAAGGCAAGGCACGCCTGCGCATACATGCTAACGCCGTCTTCTAGTTCCGCAGGAGCGTCAAGAGCGAAAAGGACACCCGTCCCCACCACATCTCCATTCCCCCAAAGGATGCCATTGCCATTGTGCCACCCAAGAAGGTACGTGGGCAGATGACTCGATATATGTATTTATATATATATATATATACACCACCCATCTCTATCACACCGAGGCCGAGCGAGGCGTGAGCAAGCAGCCCGCGCACCCGCCCGCACCCACACCCACACACGCAATCCACAGAGGGCGACGAGGCGAGGGGCTCCGCGCGCAATGTTTCGACGCGGCGCAAATGCAACAACACTCGACTTGAAGCGCTCTCGAGGCGTCCCAGCAATGCGCCCGCCTCTTCAAGTGGCCTCGCCCTCGCCATTGTGCGCGGCTCCCTCCCCCGGCACCCGCTTCCCATTCGGGCACAGAGCGCGAAGCTAACGGCCATCTCATTTCAGGTCATAAAAGCCCTCTACGACTACCAGCCCTCCGACACCAGCCCCGACTCGGCCTATCTTGCCTTTTCCCAGGGCGACTTTCTGCACGTCGTCGGCCGCGAAGACGACAGCGACTGGTACGAAGCCTGCAACCCGCTGCACGGCACCCGCGGCCTGGTTCCCGTCTCGTACTTTGAGGGCGTGGGCAAGACGGTGCGCGACAGTGCCGGTGCCTCTGCGCCTCGCTCCACTACCCAACAACCGCACGACTCCGGCTACCAAGAACGCCTCATAAGCCCCCACCCGCCGTCCGCCCACGACATCATGACCCAGCAGATGCGCATGTCCCGCTCGGGCGGCAAGACGGGCGCCATGGTCTACGGCGTCGTCATTTACGACTTCAAGGCAGAGCGCCCCGACGAGCTCGAGGCCAAGGAGGGCGAGGCCATCATCGTCATCGCCCAGTCCAACCCCGAGTGGTTTGTCGCAAAGCCCATAACCCGACTGGGCGGCCCTGGCCTGATTCCCGTCTCTTTTATCGAGATCCGCGACATGGCTACTGGCCAGGCCGTCCCCGACACGCAGGCTGCCGTCACAGCCGCCGGCGTCCCCAAGGTCGAGGAGTGGAAAAAGATGGCTGCAGACTACAAGAACGGCAGCATTCCGCTCGGCAAGCTCGAGACTAACTCGGGACAGTCGCTGCAGCAAGGCATGGAGCGCTTGAGCGTGCGCAGCCAAAATGGCGGCCACCAAAAGGTCGGCTCGGTATGTCGCGCACATGTGCATTTGCGCAGTCTCTCTCTCTCTCTCTCTCTCTCTCTCTCGTTGTTGTACTGACGCCACAACAGGTATCCCACTCGCGCAGCGGCTCCATGGCGCAGTCGCGAAACCCCCACCGCACATCGGACAACCTCCTCGCCCCGGTCAAGGCATGCGTGCCGCGCTACTGCTTTGCCGACGACATCTTCTGGTTCATCATCGAGTGCCAAATGGAGGACGGCCGGCATTGGGAGCTGCAACGCCTGTACCAGGACTTTTACGACCTGCAGATACAGCTCATTGCTTCGTACCCTGTCGAGGCTGGCACAAGCGGCTCAGCAGAGCGAACGCTGCCCTTTATGCCCGGCCCCGTTACCTACGTCACGGACAACATTTCCAACGGGCGCCGCGCCAATCTGGACGAGTACATCAAGAATCTGCTCAAGTTGGGCCCGCACATCACCCAAGGGCACCTTGTCAAGGGCTTCTTCGCCCCACGACAGGGCGACTATGAAATCGACCCCGACGTAGTCACGGCTGAAGAATATCGCATGTCTCAGCAGTCGCATCACTCGTCGAACCCGTCACACGGCGCAAGCAGACAATCTTCGGCGGACCAACTGCAGGCCACGACCCCGGTCACCCCCTTTTCGACGGGCTCCAGCTACCCGTCTCACCAGCGCGGCCCATCAGCAGCCTCGCAAGCATACTCGACCAATCTCAATCCACCGCCCATGAACCATGCAAAATCGTCCATGTCGACGAGTACGGGTACGGGTACCTCGTCGGCACTCAAGATCAAGGTGTGGTTCGAAGAGGACAATTGCGTCGTCATCCGCATGCCTCTGTCTCTCAAATTTGTCGACCTGTACAACAAGCTTGTGGAGAGGAGGAAGTTGGAGCGGCCGGGCGAGGAAGAGGAGGAATTGATTGTCGAGTACAAGGACGAGCAAGAAAACAACTTTTATCCCATTGAAAACGACGAAGACTTGGCCATTGCAGTGGACCGGAACCCCAAATTAACACTTAGTGTTACAACGACGCGGTAAGTCATGGAACAGCGGTTTGAGATATCCCCTTGAGAATTCTTCTTCTTCTTTTTCTTTTTCTTCTTCTTCTTTTTTTTCTTTGTTTCTTTTTTTTCTTTTCTAATTACCCTGGTTCTTCACTTCTCGGATGGTGGCCAGAGCTGGTGTGCAGAGGTGGCCATGTGTGTTCCTCTTCATGACGGTCTTGGTTCCTTTTTGGCTGTATTGTTCTTGCTTTGGGCGTTGCATAAAGGTTCAGGCCTCCAGGAGCGAGCAGGCGTTTGTGGAGTCTGTTGAGCAACGAATGCATGACGGCAAGCGGGTTCTTTTTCTTTTCTTGTTCCATATCCAGGCAGGGTTTTGATTGGGTTGGGCCGATTTGGTCGGTATTGCGGCGGGGTGTGGTGACGAGGGTATATAAGGGTAGTCTTCTGGATCGGGCAGCATGTGGTGGGACAAGCTATGATTGGTGGGCTGGGAGGACAACATGGCCAATCCCACAATGTATCTGAATAGATACCTTACTCCGCTCCAGGACGCGTGTTCCCCTGTACCTACAGTCTTGTGTATTTGTGTTTGTGCAACATGCCTCAGCCGATGCTACCCACGTTGTCTGGGCATGCGACTGAGAGAGCATGACGGCCTGGCCAATGAATGCGCAGAGAGGCCGACGCGGGACCTTGTGCTCCGACGTCGGTGGTCTGGAGGCCGGACAGGTTTGGGCGTGGGCACCGCGAAACGCCGACATGTTGGCCAGCGGCAGTCGATCCAAATCCCCCGCGACCTGTCGACAGCTGCGCGTCCTGTGTCGCTCATACAGCTCCAGCCAGTTTGCCATTGCCTTGGGCGCCAGACACCGCCCACGCCCTTCCCCGCCCCACGAGCCACGAGCCTGCCCCACGACGAGTGCTTGCGCGGGCATACACATGCTGCACAGAAAGAGGGAGTTTTTCAATCACCGGAGGAGGCTGCAATGGGGGAAGAACAAGGCAGCCGTGTGAGTCGACACGTCGGCACAGAAATCTCCAACGTCGCATCGTCTTCGCTCGCCCTCCCCAGGCCCAGTTTGCCGGTGCCGGGCATGCGCACTCCAACCACATCACCCCACGACGCGCCTCGCAAATGGAACACGGCGAAACTGGGCATGCGCGCCGGCGCGGATATTCTGTCGGCGGGCGCGGCCGCCATCCTCGTCGCGCCCATCATCACCATGATTGACAAGAGCATCATTGAGAATGCCAGCGGCAGGAACACGCTCGGCAACAGCCTCAAGACGAGCGCCGCCGAGCTCATCGCAAGGCCCCATTGCTTTCTCGCCAGCAAGCCCTTTGCCCTCATCTTCAGCCTGTACTTTGGCACGTACCTCACGGCCAACACCATCGACACGGCGTCGGCGACGCTGACGCCCTCGCAGCCATGGCGCCAGCAAACCAGCGGCACGAGCAAATTCGTCGCCACCAGCACCGCCAACCTGGCCCTGTGTCTGTACAAGGATAACCAGTTCACGCGGCTTTTTGCAGCCCCGGGCTCATCGCCGCGCCCCGTGCCCCTACCCACCTTTGCCCTCTTCACCATCCGCGACTGTCTGACCATTTTCGCAAGCTTCAACTTGCCCCCGCTGCTCGCCCCCACGTTCCAGCGCCACATGAGCGACCACGTGCAACAGTACGTGGGCGCCCTCAGCGTCGCCCAGTTTGTCACCCCGGCCGCCGTCCAGCTCGTCAGCACCCCGCTGCACCTGCTCGGACTCGATCTGTACAATAGGCCCGCCGCGGAACTGGGCGGTGCGGATGGAAGGGCCACCAGAGTCCTCAGGGATTGGCTCAAGAGTGCTGCCGCCCGCATTTGTCGTATTGTCCCTGCTTTTGGCGTCGGCGGCGTCGTGAATACAAAGGTAAGGGGGAGTTTGATGTCGCGGCTTGAGTCATCGGGTTGATACCAAGGGTTGAGAAGTATGTATTATAAAAGTGCTGTGTCCTTTTTTTTTAATTCCCATTGTTTTAAGCAACGCATACATGGCTTGGATTGGATTGGATTGGATGTTTGTACATACGCACACACACACACACACACACACGAAAAACAGCGGAGTCAGTAATGGAAATAAATATGCCATCTTTGTTTCTAAATACAGTATATAACACGAGTCTCGGTTGCACAAGTTGAATGTGCTAGTTAGTCTATCTCTCTCTCTCTCTCTCTCTCTCTCTCTCTCTCTCTATATATATATATATATATCTCGATTGATCTATCTTCAGTACCACACACACACACCTGCACCACATACCCTTATTCACATCTCGTATTTCTCTCTCTCCCCCCCCCTCTTTTTTCCCAAAGATACCACGCTTTCACACATATACACACCTACACACACCTACAAACAAAACACGCGAAATTCCGAAAGAGAGAAGAGAGAAAGCGGGGTCGAAGGTGAAGGTAGGAGGTGGAGCGAGATTGAATATAGTTATAGTAGGTACATAGGTAGGTACATAGGTAGGTACATAGGTGGGTGGGAAAGGGGATGATGGAGTCGTATCTACGTACGTACGTACAAGTGTAGTAGTACCTATCTGCCATCCAATGCAAATGCAAAAGCAAAAGCAAATGCAAATGCAATTTCAATACACCAAGTAAGTAACTAAGCTGTACCTGGCAGGTAATAGGAGCCATGTTCAAGTTTGTCCATCTCCATCAGAAGTGATACCCCCTCATCCTTCGCGATTAACTAAAAAAAAATCGTAAAGTAACTAAGCTAAAGACAATCCACCGAGTTATCCTTTTTACTTTCTTTCTTTCTTTCTTTCTTCAATCTAATCGTATTTATACGTATGTTATATGTACATGTACGTGGGTTTCTGGAATACCACTGGGATAAAGATAGGGATGTTGTATGGTTTTGTGTGGTTTAGGCTGGTCTCATCTAGTCTAGTCTAGTCTAGTCTATTTGTTTGTTTGTTTGTTTGTTTGCATGCAGGTTTAACCGCGCCGCGCCGAGCCGAGCCGAGGGTGCTGTGAGATAGAGGTAAGACCTAACATGTGACATGTGACATGTAAGATTATACACGCGTCTGTGTATGTATGTGTGTGTGTGTATGTGTATGATTGTGAGTGTGGCTGCAGCTGTGGGGGTGTAAGTAGCTCACGTAATGGAGTTATCTAGTGTAGTAATGTAGTATCCGGCAAAAATATACATGGAATTTATATCCCCTTTTCGTATTTCCACAGCTTGGACAATTAGTCGGTTGGTTTCTCTTGCTGGGAGATACATACATACAGCTTGGAAGCTTTCAAAGTCGCGTGTAAGAAGGGAAAGAATTTACCACGGGATAAGCGGGGTGTTGTAGTTGGAGATGCTGCGGAGTAAATGGAGATATTTGGTTTAGTAATGTCATGGTGGTTCTAGACCTGATGTTTGTGTCGTGCGAGTTTGAGATAAGTAGCGAGTGTGTTTGTATGCGAGATATATGCTTGTGGCTGTGGATTAGAGACTGATGCATGACTTGGTGGATGTTGTTGTACCAACTTGAATGCTAGTTAGTGCCATGGAAGTGCTGCATTTGACAAGAAGGAAAGGTAGCAGAGATACTTGCATTGACTGTACTTGGATAAGACGAGATATATCCTACTGGGTAGCATGCAATTCCAGAGGATTAGATCCATGATACAAGAGAGTAATAGCGTTGCTTAGTTGGATGGCTATAACGAAATTTAGAGAAATTATTGGAATAGAATGGTAAAATTGCAGTGTCTGGCTTTTCTGAGATGCACACACGCGACAGAGAGATTAGATGGAAAGCATGATGTGAGCGTCTGACTATTTTCCACGGCAGTCCTTACGTAGGAATTGTTCCTACGTCGATAATACGTAATCTCAGTCATTTCTCTTCCATATGCCACTAGTCTTGCGGCTGCGCCATGCAGACTAGCATCTACGAACCGATCTGCTTAATGCGCATTCCGGCTTGCTAGCAAACTGAGCATGGAATCCCATAGATCGTATGTCCCATAATACGCCCGTTTTTGACAAAACAGCCATGATAGCGGATTATATGTCGATGTGGGTTCCTTAAAAAGATTTCGAATATCTCTGCCTCGTCCAGTAAGACCTGCTGGAGCTTTGGAGCGAGATCGCTATTGAATCCGCTAAGCTTTGGACGCTTGATGTATTTACCGGCAAGTTCTGATTTTGGTAGAACAGTGATGCTTGGGGGCGATTTGGGATAAGCCACCTCATCTGGAATGTATTTGAGGTGGCGATTGACGTGCTCGAGGCTCAGTGCAGCAAATTCAGAGTCTAGTACCTACCCATAGTACGCGTTATGGTTCGCATCAATGAAAGAAAAGGTAGCCTTTTGTCCATTTTGTCACTTGTAGTGCAACGAGAGTTTAGATCTCAGAAGGAACTGCTGTGGAACAGCAGGTCCATTGTAGCTGACGTCGTCTATTGAGGTGGGAAAACCGGGTAGATATACTAGGCGAGCTAGCTAGTCACGTGGAAAGAGCTGCCTTGTATAATCACCGTGATGCTTATCCAGTAAACTCAAGACATCAGGTGACTTAGTATCTTGAGCTTACCTCTATTCAGCTAGCTAGCAAATGAGACTATATGAGCACTGCTGATTGGTGCATAATATACAGAGGTACTAGGCCGTGTAGCGATTTCGCACGAATTAGTTCACTAACCAGCCTATACCACTAGTAGGTAGGCCTAGACAATTCTATCAAATACCTAGACGTATACAAAAGCGATAGATGCGTTGCAATAGATAGAACTAACAGTAGTACAGTAGTCTGATATTGCTGCAAAGTCAAGGTACCTGTAATATTGTCTGTTATGGAGGTTGTTCCGTTACAAAGATATGTACGTTAGGACATCTTTACCACTCATGCGCGCGATTTCCAGGATCACTAGATAGGATACCACGGCTTTTTATTACGTGACCTCTAATTGGTACAGAGATATGTTAAAAAGAGAAGACATCTTGTGGAATGTTGCATCTATTTCTGTCGTTTACATGATGAAAGGCACATGCAGAACAAAGGCATCACAGTCCAATTATAAGAGCGTGAGTTCTCGCATAGATTGCCTTTTTGCCCCCATCCCTTTCAGACACAATAAAGTATGAGAATACTAACACTTGGATACTAAGCCTGTACAGTCCTTTACACAGGCTCATTCACAACATGCACAACACAATCCTCTCTCCTAATCAAAGGACATATGTTTCACCAAAAGCTATAAATACTCACACAAACACGGCTTCTCCTTCGCCCAGGCTCGCCGCATCAACAAAGACTGCGCATGCATGCATTGTACAGTAGCCAAGATACCTGATTATGCAACATCCCATACCTATTATTACCCCACGCGCACAGGCATCAAGCCACACCGTCACAGCCACAGCCACACACATGCCATGCGTGCACAACAAAGCAAATACCCAAACCGCAACGGGTAAGAAAAAAGAAAAAAGACCCCTTTGATCGTGAAACAGATATGATGTGCAAACAGAGTAGTGACATCATCGTCGATCTGCCGGTCTCGACCGTTCGCTTTTACGCCCACATGGCGGCATCGGCATGTCCAACCATGGCCCCAGCACACACACCCCAATTTCGCTTGTGCTGGCGGCATACAGAAAAAGCCCATGCACATGCGTACGGTAGCGTAGCGTATCCATGTGAAACCATGCACATGTACGGGTCTCGCCTAATACCGGACGAGCAGGTACAATTAGGCTTTTTGTCCGATCTTGGGCGGCCGCGTAAGTAAAGAGGCGGGGGGAGGGGCTTGCTGGGCCATGCAGGATGCAGGATGCAGGATACATGCAGGGGGGAATTATATACACTATACAGAGAGAGAGAAAAGAAAGTAAATGATTCGTATAGATGATATCGCGTGTGTAAGGGTTGACAGCAGGGTATTGCAAACATTAACTTTGTCTTCGTGAACTCACATACTGTGTCTACTATTACAGAACAAAAGAATGCAGAGACATAGGCGGATTGATATTACTATGTATTACGCCTGTTCATTACCGATAATGGCACTCCCGCCGCCCCGCGCTTCCGCCAGCAACTGGGTGCCGACGACTTGGCCGGTAGTCTTGCTCTTGAAGACGCCCGAGACCGAGTACAGGCCCAGAAACGGCTCGTAGACATACTCTTCTTCAAAGACCTCTTCGCCTTTGAATGTGACCGTCTCGTTGAACCCGTTGAACTTCATGTCTTTGGCGTAGTTGCCGACGACGGTGCTGCCGGAGATGGCGCCAGTGTTGTCCAGCATCTGCTCGACAATGTCGCCGTTTTGTGCCAGCACACGCCGCTTGTGCGTGTTGCCTTCGAAGTTGTTGATCGAGTAGAGGATATTGTTGCGGAGGTCCCATTGATGGAAGTCGATGTCGCGCTTTGCCTTTGCTTGTGCCGTCTGATTGCTTCCGCTTCCACTTCCACCACCAGTAATGCCGTCTGTGATGCCGCCAACCAGATCGCCCGCGTCGTCGAGAATATCACCGAGCCCGTTTCCTAGCTCAGCAATCACGGGATTGAGATCGATGGAATCCAGGACATCGCCTATCATCGACACTACGTTGCCCAGGCGAGCCTCGAGGTACACTTTTGCAGTGACGTTTTGGATGAGGAGCGAGACTTTGTCGACGGAAAGATCTACTCCTGCGTTGAACTGCAGCAACTGGAGTACCGAGGCATCGAGGTTGATTTTGGCCGTGAGATTGTCCACGCCGACGAAAATCTCGCCCACATGGACCGATGCGTTGAGCAGCACGTCGGGCACGGGGTTCAGTGCAGACACATTCGACGTGCGCGTGTTGGCCGTCTCGTACAGTACAGCAGCTGGGTCGCCGTCATCCCGGACGTTGAGCTTGTAGCCCGTGTAGCCGTCAGAAGCGGATTGAGAGGCTGCGAGAAAGGGCAGTGAAAGGAGCGTAAGGGTGGGAAGTAGCGAGAGCATCTTGACTTGGGGTATGCAAAAGAGTGAAATGACCGCAAGCCGATGTTTGCTAGAGACAGACTGCGAGCAAAAGGCAAAAGGCGACGGGCAAGCTTATGGTTAAACAACACACTCGTATATGTCGTGGTGGGGGGTGTAGCTTTACCAGCAAGGATTGTATTCGCATTGCCTGATTATGACCCGCTTCCCCACCTCGGCATGGCCAGTCGTGAAATTTAAGATTAAGGAGATCTGATCCGCAGCCAGCCATTCGACAAGCTGATTCCAGCGATTTGAAAGAAAAACAGGATTTTCAGCGTGCCTGCTAACGTCTTTTGCATGTTCATGCTGCGGGGAAACGGTGCGGCCTTGGTGTGAACCCTGCTACAACTGCATAGGGGGTTTCTTTACCCGAGATTACCATTATGGGACATCCTGGTCATACTCCCACGTGCATAATGGATCCTTTCTTGGTCGCTAGACTTGCACTTGTAAACGGCATTGCTTTAAGCGTCACCTTGGCCGTATGTGCTGGGTGTGATTTTTTCTTTTACTTGTACGGCTCTCTTCCACTCATTTTGCCGGCACGCTGCTCTGTTTGTTGCTGTCACCGCCAAACATGTCCTTCTCTGTGCGTCTACTGCTCATCAGCATTTTGCTTACTTTTGCCTCGTTCGTTACTGCGCAATCGACGTCTTCGGGTGTGCCTTCGACTCCCCCGCCTACAAGCAGCAATCGCCCCTCGGGCAATGGGACGTCGACAAGACCCCCTGAAGTCTCGCCTACATCATCAGATCCCCCAGATGTGCTACTCCGCGTCCCGGAACTGCATGTAGGCCGGATCGAATTGAACGTCGAGAAGCTCCGGGCCGATCTTAACCTCAACGCAAAAGTGGCTGGTCTGGTTCAAATCAATGCTGGTGTCCAGGTTGGAATTGACAAGGTCAATATCACCATTGCCGATGTTGATGTTGATCTCGAGCTGGTCGTGCGACTGGGTAACTTGGTCTCGATTGTTGAGCGCGTGTTTGACTCGTTGGACCTGAACCCGCTCTTGATTGGTCTGATTGGAAATGTGACCAACCTGGTCGGCGAAGTAATCGGAGCCGTCGACGGTTTGGTGAGTTTGAACTATACAGCCCAGTTTCCGCACGCCAATCTAACAACACCCAGCTTGGCTCTATCACGCAAAACGGAAAGACGCTCAGTTTCCTAGTCGACAACCTGGGCAATATTGTCCAGGAGGTAGCGGGCGCCGGCACAGACGCCCTGTCCCAGATTGTCGGTAACTACAAGGTACGCTCACTTCCCGTACAAGTACACGTGGGATAAGTACAGTAGCTGAATAGAATCCGCAGCTCAACATGACCGAGGTCGCTGATAGCGCCAAGCAAGTCGGTCAAGGCCTAACTCAAAAGACGTATTCGTACGAGCCGCTCAGCGCGCTCGTCGACATCATTACCAATTCTGCCGGCCAAGTCGTGCAAGCAGTTGTTCAGAAGAAGAATGGCGGTGGCGGTGGTGGCAGTTCCTCCTCGTCTACAGTTTCAGCATCCAGTACCGGCACTCCAATGCCCGTTAGCTTGCCTGTGAGCTCGGCCACGCCCACGGCCTCTGCGTAAATCAAATGAAATTACAGCAGCATAGCAATAATAGTATGTAATTTAATACGCATTTCAACGGCCATCTATATGTTTCACTGTTAAAGAGAAGTCATTCTCAGAATGTCGTCTGGAATCATACCTTGTATCAGCTAAAGCGCACTATATCTCTCTATCCATATCTATGTGTAGAGAGGTGATAAAGGAGAACAAATGTAAAGAATACAAATCCTTACATGCTTACTGTGAGAGTAGTAGATAGATGTAGCATGATATAGGTAGCACGGGTAGAAGCAGTATGTAGTACTGGTATTCACGAGGCAAAGCGAGGTTGGCACCAGCGATTCCAAGCAGTTATATACTCTTGGGCGGGCTAGATTAGTTAGCCTGATCCTTGGGTGGATAGGTTGTAACACTTATAGCTGTACTCAAACTGAAGCTCAAAAAACAAGGATCTGTTATCTACAAAGCCTAACAGATGTTCAACTATTCTGTAATTACTAAGCTTAATCCATTCTATGGATATGTAGTAGGTGGTAGCTCATTTGCACTTTAGTTGCCTGATTTAAACTTAGTCTTGATATATGGGGAGGTTTAAGGTGGCTTTCTATAAGTGAGATATATAGTGTGGTTTAGCAGGTAGGAGCAAATGCATTGGTACATGTGAATTAAGACGAATTCTTGGGATGCTTCGAAGGATTCAGCCCAAGGCTGCATATTAATACTCACTCTTACTTAATGGAAGTGTGATTACTATCCAAGTAGCATGACGAATAACCTTTGCCATTCCTCAGGGTTATTGTCAGAGCCTACTCAGCTCCGGGGCCTGTCGGCAACCTAAGTCAGAGATAAGGTATTCAAGCACCTATGATTACTAGGATAGCTCCCTAGCGACTCGTCTTGTGAATACTAATACTGTTACCCTATCCCAACTGTCTCACAGATATCTCTTCGAGTACCAGAATATCGGACAGACTACGGAAGAACTTTGCTAATCTATTGAAGATCATAATTACAGAATCGTAAGCTGGTACGCCAAGTAGTATTAAAACTTTTTAGCTTGCGGGGCATGTCCTGGGAACAACGTAATGTTGAATTGGATACTTTCAGAGTAAACTCTGCATTTGGCACTTGGAATACTATATAAACCACAGCTTGAGCAGATCAATGATGAAAAGAAAAAAAATTATCGGCTTCATCAATCTCCAATCTACGCACTATCAAGTGAGTAACATGATTAACTATTGGTTAAAATGTACTGCACTCTTTACTAATACGGAGCAATGGAACGCAGTCTACATCACATCTACATACCAACGTACATCTACCTCCAAGTCAACCACCATTCAAAAGCAATGAGGCTTACCACTCTTCTTATCACTCTGTTTGCCTCGGGCACGCTGGCAAAACATTATTGTGCTGGTGATTGCGTCTCATGCTATTGCGGTACTGGGAATGATGCATATACTTATAGTGAGCATAAGTGTAGATCCTGCAGCTGCGATGAGTCTGTTGCAGATAATACCGCTAGTTGCAAGAACGCGGATGGTTCTAAAAAAAAGCTATACCATTTGGGTTGCGGAGCGTGGAGAGATTGCCAGTGTGTGCACGGGGAGTAGCCCGTATCTTGACTATCTACTTAACTAAAGGCATTCATCGTTTCTTAATATCTTTAGTCGTTTCATCAGTTTGGCTGTGTACAAAGAGTGTCAAGATCTCGCATGTGTGCGCTTACTAGGGCTAACAATCAACCTCTACTCTTGAGTTGTGAGACGCGCCTTGGGAGATAGACTACAAGGACTTTGGCATTAGATCTCATGTGTGCGAGGATCTATGCGTACAATTAGGGAGAAAGCGGGGTACACGCGACAGAAGCATCCTGTATTATAGTGATTCGTGATATTTCTCTTTCTGAATAAAAAGCGAATGCACACTTGTTTGACATGCCTCTCTGCCTCCAACATCCAACCCTTCATCTCTTACAAGGAAAGAATTCTTGTTATTACCTCAATACTATGTTCAAAAGGGATACTGGATATACACCAACCATCAGAATAATGAAGAACCCAAGATAAGTCGATACAGAACTCATTATTAGTAACCCAAATTCCGCCTCTACGCTCTTCGGGCGATCCCGACGCAAGCTGTATTTAGATACCAGCAGCCATCATATTGTTACATCAGAAAAGCTACGTAGGCCGCCTGCAAGGGCAAAGCAGCATTCTCTTGCATCCGCCGAGGTTAACGTGTTTTATCAGTAAGCGGCCCACATCAGTAAGTGGCCCACCCCACCAAACCTGACGCGATACTCTCCACAACCACCACTATGCCGCGACAACAACGCTCTGTACAGACTTCTCGTGAAGGTAGAGTTCTTCTAGCGTCTCGCGCGCTTCAAGAAAAACGTGTTGTAAGCCAGCGCCAAGCTGCTATGCTATACGACGCTCCACGAACAACGCTCCGACGACGCCTCCGCGGTACCAAGCCACGATCAGAGACAGCCTCCGTCAATCGCAAGCTATCAGCTGTCGAAGAGCAGTCTCTTGTTCAATGGATCATAGAGCTAGATCGACGAGGCTTTCCGCCCCATATTATCGAC